ATCAAATTCTTAAAAATGTATTATTTATTCAAGTAATCTTATTCAAGTACAGATAAACCAAATATATCATTATGAGAATTTCGGGGAACTCTAGGTACTCTAGGAACCCTACTTACCTACATTATTAATGCAATTGATATTAAATATCGAGAAATGCTTAAACAAAAACAAAGTTCATTTCAATGTTTCTTTATAAATTGATGCAGGTTCATTGTATAAAAAAACTGGATAAAAAGTCATAGTTTCATTTTTTTGCAAAATAAAAGAAAAAGTTTTGATCTCAAAAAACAAATTTTCATTACTTTCTAATATGTAATATGTCTAATATGTTTCTATATATTTAAATACAATAAATTGGATAAGATTACAATATTGTATCATCATGTTATAATGTTAAATTTGGCTGACTGTTTATGAGAACATATTTTTGTTACTGTAACTACAGCTACAGCTATATTTGCTTTTGAAGCTTATAATATAACATGTTATTGCTTTCTTTGACGGATGAGAGTCTTTGATTAAGTGTTAAATGTAACACATATTCGTTTATCATCCCCCTCGGATGAGATGGTTGATGACGCGATGATATTGCGATAAGTTTGTGACGTGCGCACGTTTTATTATCTATCGAGGGTGTTTGACTTGCATTACGTTCACAAGAGGATATGCGACATATTATTTTATTGACAGAATTCTAATAATAATGTCTTCACAACGTGTACGTACACGTACGAGGATATAAAAAGACACCTACGTTAGCAAAGGAATTTTGATCTACCAAGTGATCAACAAGCGCACATTTTTATGAAACTGACAAATAAACAAACTACGAGTATACACTATCACTAATAATAACTACAACTTTTCACTTTATTTAAATAAAATTTCACGTGTCTTTGTTAATAAGAAAGGAACGAGATTAGTTCAATAAAGACGCCTACTACACGGATAATCATTTTGAAGTGTGTGCGTGCTTGCCGCGGTAGTCACACGTTAAACTTATTCAGTGAACAGTTAACGCGAGAGTTGATAATAACAATCTAATAAAACGGGTGTGTAATTCAGAAACTGCATAGGTTAGGGATAACCCTCCGAGTTAAGCGGCGTGACACCCTCTCGATTACGCGCTTCCTATTCACGGCTGTGCGCGTCCCACACGCGCACACCCTCTTTACAACACTTTAACGAATTCCTGGTGCGTCAGCCCCCAAGATTCTAATCACTTTTATTGCACGCCGGCGAATCTTCTCTCGGAGCGACCAAATTGAATACAAATTAAATATTTATACATGCTGTGTTTCATTGTACCTCGTAAGTTGGTGTGTAAAACTTAATTTTGCACACGCAAAAAAATTTTGAAAATTTGCCAAATAGGATTTTTTACAAAATAAAAACAAATCACATATCGACACTTTCAATCAATAAATTTTGGATAAAAATATTTTATTAGAGACCGACCGAAATTTCGGTTTCGGTTTCGGCCAGTTTCGGCCAAAAATTCTAGTTTCGGCTTCAGTTTCGGTTTCGGCCAAAAATTGGCCGATACTTTCGGCCGCACCGAAACTCACTTTTCGTGAATTGTCGTGCGTCGCTCGGCTAACTTCGCGGCTAATATCGGTCGGTTAGAAAAATATGTTTATGAAAATTAGTTTCGGTTTCGGTTTCGGCCGAAACTGATTGCAAAGCCGAAATTTCCGTTTCGGTTTAGGCTAAAATCCGGTTTCGGTCGGACTCTATATTTTATTAGCCCAAAGAAATCTAAAAATCAAATTTAAAAAAATAGTAAAAGTATCGTGGGACTTGTAGCACTGTTCAACAATTTAGGCAGATTGAATTGTTTGCGTAAGGGATAAACGAGCAGTGCTCTAACGCCTTTAGCAATGTCCCAAAAGCGTAGCTACTATTTGTTCTTTACTGAGTGATCACCGTCAACATAGATTTGATATTACACCTAGAGGGCCTTTCAAATGTGTGTATCTAACACACCCTCGGGAGTATCATCAGGATGTCATCAGGATTGTCGTGTGACCGCCGCACGTGACACAAACTGAACTACTTTGTAATCTCTGTTTTAATCCGTTCGCCATACAGCCAACTTACTCCGATTACAAATGGCAAACATTATTTTACAATTTCATGATCTGCAGACGGGAAAAGCACTTTCAACGCGTGCTGCGTCAAAGTCCTGATAGAAATTATACCAACGCATGTATTTCTCTAGTGGATCAGACTTTATTTCAACTTATACCCTGGCCGGAATAAGTTTGCTAGTTGTAATTTTGTAGCACCTGATGCCGTTGACACAATCGAAACCACTTTTGACGAAATAGATCGCAGATGCGTCCTTAAAGTATTTCAGTAGTCACAGCAGTGGGTAACACACGAATTTGCATTCGATAGCTTCCTGGCGAGTTCGTGACAGAATTGATGCGGAGTTTTTAATTTGGAATCAGATTCTGAGTTTGGGGTTGCAAGAGACACTCATTCAATGACGTGCACTTGGAATTTTCGAGTGACACTAATATCACACTACGTATTGCTGTACCGCATATACACAACCACTTGCAACTTATGCATAATGTAACTGAATTAATAAAAACCCGCTTGGGACCCCGGACCCCTTTTTTAAAGTGTGCAGACGGATCAAATCTATCAAATGTGGTAATGTATTGACAGATATAACATTCACAACGTTGGGAGCGATTAAAAATTACAAAAATTGTAATATTCCTTCAATGTCTGAAATTAAACTAAAAATTTAAGTTTTAAATTAAATTTTATATTAAAATGTTAAAAATTTTGAAAAAACATAATATTTTTTATTAATTTCTTCTAGGTACTTACAATATAAACAAGATTATAATGTTGTATTGGAATAAATATATTCCAATTCATAAAACTTGATTAAAAGTACTTCTTATAAATATTTCAATAGCATTCATCATGAAGCAAAAACCAACACCGCCAGAAAACTCCATAAAGCTGGATTAGTTTAATGGTTCCAAATATTTATCAAAGTGTAAAGGATAATCCCGTCATTATTATCTATATTTGTAGGGACGAACCGAGGGAGATGCGACGGTTGTGTTGAACGTAGCTCGGACAAAGAAATATTAGCTTCGGTGTGCGTCAGCTCGGCGTTTTGTTATTCAGCAATATTAATTACAACCACCGTTCGATGTACAAAGCACCTCGTTCAACAAAATTTCGTACATAAAGCATATTTACGTTTGAAATGTTCGAAATGCAAATTTTAATGAACAATACAAAATTTTAATAATACCATGATAATAAAACACATCATCTCATACAAAATACTCTCGCGTTAATACTAGGTACGTTGAAATACCAATAAGTACATAGTACAATACTTGAACCGCTGAAAATGTCGAATATGATGTAATAAAGTGCATGTGTATGGCCACTGTAAACATATTCATCGGCAAAAAGCTGCTCAAATTGTTTACACTGGCGCATTAAAGATGTACACGCGCATACGGATGCAAATATGAGCGCACATAAAAATGCGCGGAAATATATGGGTGGCACTTGATGTTGTTCGACTTCAAGTGCACAAGGAAGGCACTCGAACGGCGAAAGAGCGGCTGAAAACTTTCGGAAAAGGAGAACGCGCGCAGTTGTTCGAGTGTGGATCAAGTTTTTCCTACATCGCGGGGGTTATTGTGTGTCGCACAAGTGCTTAACGAGAGGATAATTTAACTATTACGAGTACGAGACTCGGACGATGGGGAAAGATTTGCGGAGTTAAAACAATTGTGCATAACGCGGAGCGAAACAAAAGTATAATTTGTGTCGACAATAAAAGTTTTGTTGCAACAATAGACATGGAAAACAAATTACAAGTGTACAAGTACATGCACTAAGTGTAATAAAAATATATTGCTTTCAGTAATAATAAAACTATTATTTGAATATTGTGGTTATTCTTACCTACTGCATATAAATGAAAAAGTAGTTTGGCGTTTGTTCACAACTTATTTACTAATTTTAAGATGTGTTTTATTCTATTATTATTATTAATACATCCGAAATGAGTGAAATTTTCCATTTCAAATTACAATAACATTGTTATAAATTATTTGCTGCTTCAGAACATTTGTACTAAAATGATTACATTACGCGTTTGATTAAACAGTACCGTATTTATTAAAATAATTTTTGAAATTGATTTTTGGTCAAATATTAACTAATTAATTTATGCTCTAATGTAAAACCTGTTAAATTTATTAATTTATATTGATAGGATTAGAAAACAACATTAAAATATACCCAACGTGCAGACATTATTAATAAATTAAATAATTCTAATAAATTAACTTAACTTGTGCGTCAGTCCTGAAAATGTTTCATTTCTGTTTAATTAAACTTACATTATGAAATAATTAAGTACAATAATGTTACATTTAGAACACAATTACAATGTGTTATCATGATTTATCATTCTAATTGCATTTACACTTTTTACGACAGAGTCGTGTTTAAACTTTTCACTTTAACTGTCTGTTTTACAGCATTATCGTGCACAAATGTTATTGTTGTTTCACAGATAACACGCATTAAGCTAAACAACTACAATTACGGAATTGTGTGATTAATTTTTGATGAACATATGAGATACAACCAAGAAACCCACTTTTTTGTATACATAACCAAGGCCTGTAAATAATCAAATAGATGAGTAATCATCACGTTGTTAAATTTTATGATTACAAAGCAAATTATTACAATTACAAATTAAACGTGAAATTATTAGAAATGTTATTTTATCTTATGATAGGTATGTTAAAACTTACCGCAAGAGACGAAAAACGATAATTGTCTTTATTGATGAAAGTTTATGAAATTAAAACCAATTCGGTGCTTGCAGTTTAATTCCTCTTTGTCGTGGGTATAAAATTATGAAGATTTTATAGATAATCATTTATTGATAATAAAATTTGTTTGATAATTGCTATCAGGTAAATATAGAAAACATAATATTGTTCGAATAAATGAATTTATTAGGATTAATTAATTTAATTGCACAATTAATAATTTATTAGACTTTACACTATCGCTATAATTAATAATTTTCATTTTATACACAAAATTAAACGTGTCATCATCATTACAAATGCGTTAATTAATTATTTGACAACAAACAATAATAAAACCTACAGCAATCCAACCTGCTGTTTGAAAAAAAATTCATACCTACAAGCGAATTAAATAAATACTGAGTATTACATATGCACATGTTGAACAATGTTGCAATGCGTGCCACATCCACATGCAACAATTTAGGTAATCATTTATGAATGGGATTACATTTAATTTTTAAGTGCTCGAAGCGTCAGTTTCATTTCTCGAGAGATTTCAGGTATCTAATCAGTACGTTCACAGAAACACAAAAACGAAATTAGTGTTAAATGTTACAAATGCTTGTGTCGTGCATGTTGATTTATGTCATATGTTTTACAACCGCTATTAAGATCATATATATCATATTTAAACTACAAATGTAATAATGTTTGTTCAGTGATGAAAAGCATAAAATAAAATTACAACAAAAACACGATTACATTGCATGATTGTACACGGTACATATATCGCCTTGAAAATGAGGCATTTCCATTTGAATACGAAATATTGCATTCAAAATGAACATTTACTATACATTTTCTACACTTTTAGAGCTAAGATCATTTATATATGTTATTATAATTATCGACATGATATACCAAAATATTATTACAGTTTGATTTGCTTATAACGTTTATCTACGTCTTCTACTTGTTCTACTTGTAGCGAAATTGTTAATGTATCAGCTATCAGCTCTAATATTGCAACGGAATCGGTGACTTGTTTTTTATTATATTTACGTGGACTTATCATTAATAATTTACTTAATTCTGTATTTCGAATATTTTGTTATGACTCTCAATGTCTAAGACAAATTCAGCTGCATTTCGATTAATACATTCTTCACCTCGTCCAATCCTCGGAGTTTGAAAGTGGAGAAAACGCTGATAGTTGATTATGTAATGCACCGCTCGCACGTGCCGCCAGTAACCGACTGCAATCTTCATCCGACGGTTCAATTTTTTGCTTACTGCTTGTCGTACTGCCGATGATTGAATCAATTGAGAAACCGTTTGTTTTCTTGTGTATCTCCCGTTCAGTGTTTGGTAGATAGTCATCACTATCACGATCTGAGTTGGAGTTTAGTGATGGTTGTACGGGCACAGGTTTACAGAGCGTCGGCTGCTGGCTGATGATGTGTCCAAGATGTCCCAGACCCAATCGAGAGAGATCCATTGGTGGCATAAGCGACGGCAAAGCGTTGTTAGCTAATGTTGGTAAATATGCGTATGGATGTGGCATGCTCGGATGACCAAAAAGTCCATGTTGATAATTTTCTTGCTGGTTGAGTAGTGATGCGACCATTGCATGGTGTTCTCTATACATTAAATTCGGCGATGGACGTTTATAACGCTTCCGACGCCTGAGAAAACTTCCATTGTCGAACATATCTTCAGCAAGAGGATCTAGAGTCCAGTAGTTGCCTTTTCCAGGATTACCAGGCTCACGAGGGATTTTAATAAAACAATCATTCAGTGATAGATTGTGCCTGATTGAGTTTTGCCACGCGGGGAATTTATCTCGGTAATATTGAAAACGTGACATGATGAACTCACAGATGCCGCTTAATGTGAGCTTCTTGTGCGGAGACTGTAGGATCGCCATTGTTATCAATGCGATGTATGAATATGGCGGTTTGATGACTTGTGGACTTGATTTCTTTGACTTACTGCTGTATGCTTCTTCATCTGTCTCGGATTTGGTGTCGTGTGTCTCAGAGGTGCCGCGAAGATCCAACGGGCTTTCAGGATGCGGGTAGCGTGTTGCGTCCAAGAGTAAATCGTCAGCGTTAGCGCCCAAAAGGCGAACCGAGTCATCCATCATTAACATTGAGTATTTATTTAGTTCGTAATGCACGAAAATGTTAGTTTAGCTTGCAGATTAATTTCAGTTGTGTCGATACAACGCGCGCACGTTATCACAACCGACTAAAACACATGTTTACACTTAACGGATTTCAATATGTTCGTAATTATATTATTACACAAAAACGATTCGCGTTGAAACGTTTTGATATGAGCTCCTTATCGTGACAATCGTCCAAACACAAACGCCTGTTAGTAGCGTACGGAGGCAATTCACTAATTTTCCCGAAATGCTTTTTATTTCTGGGTTTTCACGAGATGCCGGCAGACTCCATTGAAAAATTTTCCTATCGGCTTGTTTGCTTTTCGGCGTTGGTTGTTTATCACCTGCACTCGATGCTGGTGGTGCTAACTACACTCGCTGTCGCCGCTCGGTGCTGTCGTGGTGCTCGCCGACGGTGGAGGAGAGTTATTGCAGGCGTCGAGAGAATGACAATGTGACGCGAGAACACGACGAAAGAGCGCCCGACGCTCTGGTGCTTCGCCGACGGTATCTGGACTTGTTATACCAATATTTTGATGGCAAGAACAATGATGGTTCAAGCCACCGCACATTTCCGGGTAGGTTTGTGTGAAAACAAAGCGGTGTAGAGGGTAGGAGGCGGCCTGACGCTCCGCCTAAAAGCGCACGCCCTTATTTTCATCCCCTTTTTACGCACGGCGGCGCCCGCTGAAATCCTGTTTCTACAATTGATTTTATCAGCCGGCCCGAGCGCAAGCAAGGCACAGCACATCGCACAACTTACGTATAATATTTTTCATCGCATCCCTTAACATCCCCGACCGCCACTCTCTCTCGCCGCTCCTCCCCGCGCAAATATACCTACTACCACTATGCCCGCGCTTCGGCGGCCGAGAGGACCGACAGTGAGCGACCATCGCCACCTGGAAAACGTGTCTACACAAGCATAGTGCTTTATGTATTTATATCACATTCTCGCACAGCATACAAGTACATAACCACCCCTATTGTGAATATTTCACAAATCATCTGCAAATGCGTATCGTATACCTACCTTCATAAATAAATGCGTGTAGCATGCCGCGCGTAGGAAAAAAATATTTGAAGGATTTCCGATTGTGCAGATGCCCACATTGATTGAGCTTTTTTTTTTGAGAAAAACAAGAATATTTGCACAGAGAAATTTTAATTGCGTTCGCCATTGGTAATCAAGTTTGTAAATAATTCCATACACTATAAAATACTTTATTTTTTATTTTATAACATTTTTAAAGCGCTTTTGTTCCAAAATCAACAAGATATGCAACCAACATTGCATAACCACAGTTAAACACATTTTTTGACATCAAAAGATAGATATAATTTATGGTTTTATTTGGTCGCAATTATTCAAACCAATCAAATGCTTCTCTGCAAAATATTAAGGTAGATATGATAAAATTGAATTAAATTTTGAATAACCCGATAATAACTCATTTCGTGGTCTGGTAATAACGCTTACCGTTTAGCAAATAATATTAAAAGCGACAAATAGAGATTAAATGGCATACGCACGCACCACCGCATACAAATTTCGCCCCCGCCACCGCATATAAAACGAAATAAGTGCAGGGGTCGAATAATAGCAATTTGGTGAGCGCGCACCCACCATAAGTGCGCCCTTTGGCGCGGGTAATAAATATATTCAGCAATTGCGCGACGGGCATTCGAAGGTTTGAAACGCATGCGGAATGGGGTGCGTATACCCGACGAACAAAGCAAAAGTTAATTTCATCCCACTGCGAAGATTTAAGAAGGATTCAGCACCAAAGCTCACATCTCACGACAAGTGCGCAAATACAACCCGGGCATTAACCGGGTGCTGAATGACTGCAGCCCACACACAAACCTGCGAGAGATTAGTGGGATCATAAATCAGCGTATTATTGAAGTATTGTGCGTTGGGGCCGACTCTATTAAAGAAACAAATCGAATTTATTCCGGCTCGCAACCTTCACGCACATGTCTAAATATTTGGCAGATAATAACAATTAATCGCGCTCGGGCTCATCGTGCTCATGATCCGAATATTCAGCAGATGTAGTCTGCATGATTCTGGCGATCCGCGCGAGCATTTCTTGGCTGCGCTCTCGAATCGAATCGAAAGGAATCGATTCTACATCATTAGCGGTATCGTCGTTGTTAGTGGACGTTACATCCGAGGCGTCTTCCCAACTGCTGTTATCCTGAGAAACCTGAGGAAGTACGACTTCTGTCGGCTTGAAAGTGAACGACTCTCGTTCACTTTGAAGTTTTTCAAGCTTTGCGTCGATTTGTTTCAGACGGTCTTCATTTTGCCACGGCTTCCCATCATGCACCGGCTTTTGTTTGCTCGGCAGCAGTGACACTTCAGATAAATTCTCTAATTCGCTCTCCAGCTCTCGCATTCGCGTTTGATCTTCTTCGCTTAACGAAAACGGATAAATCGACGTTGTATCGTCAATTTCTAGAAGGCTATCGACTTTCTTCTCACTACCTAACAATTTTGTATCATCGGTGCCATCACTTTCGGGGGTTTTATCTAAAAACACATTTTAAAATAAATATTACAGAATAAATGGATAAATAAATAAAATACGCACCTAAATCGATCAACAATTTATCCAATTTCACTTTTTCTTCGTCGGTTAGACAGTAGGCAGGATTAGACATCGTTGGAGTATTTTTAGCCCGCTGAATCATAGAACACGAAACATAGCGAGGTGCAAAGCTTTAAGTTTGATCAATAAGTTTGTTATGGTTACCTACCTGAATATTTCTTTTTATAAATTTATCCTTGTTTGAGTCACATTCTAATAGACTAGTTTCATGCTCAGTATTACCGTCTGATTCATATTCCTTTTGATTTGTGATGGTTTCAGAAGAGGTTGAGGCATTTAATCCATTATCCTCATAACTACACAGATCTCGAAAAATTTTTGTTTTTGCATATTTATCATCTTCCCTGTCAATTATTTCACACAATTGTTTTTGGACAAGTTGTCTTTCCATACGTTCTTTCTAAAAATTGAATATTTTTCAATGTCAACAAGCAAGGACAACAGAAAGGAGTTTACAACTTGCTAAAAATATCTTTAACACTTGCATAGTAACAGTAGAGTGTCTAGTGCAAGTAATAATTAAATAATGCTTGGGAAAAGGCTTACTTGTAATGTCTTGTAAGAGTCCTCCATCATTTGATCTAACTTTAAAACTGTCTCAATCTGTTTCTTCATTTCCGGATTGTTTCGCTTCTTGCGAATCGCAGACACAACTTCATATAACACGCTGTCCGTATCTTCCACGTCTTCATCTTCGTCTTCATTTACGTAACTATCATATCTATTCAGTTTTAACTCGTTGATTTTCTGCGCCATTTCCAAATAAAATTCGTTCATTTCGAAGATCAAATGATTTGTCGATTTGGTTTCACCTGGTATATAGGATCTTTCGCTGCTTTGCGCTATTTCTAAGCTGCGATTGATGGAACGTTGTAAATTACCCATTGTACCAATATTCATTTGATTTTCTAAAGCTTGATTGCTGATATTGTTTTCAATATTATCAGACATTTTGAAATATAAATATTTTTATAAGGTTTGAATTATATTTTCTTTGGTAAAACCTTGTAGACGTTGAATGAATGACAAATTTGACGTTTAGAGCGCTTTATTTAAAAATTCATTAAAAAAACAAGTCAATATAAATAATGAAACAAGTGAATACTTAAGCAACAAATAACATAAGCTTTCTTCATGAGATTTCTTTTATGTTTTCCTTAGTTGGGTTGTTCAACAGTAGGTTGAGGAGTAGAAGCATGTGGAGAGGGGTTGTCCATTGGGGTGACAGTGCTCTTTTGAGGTCCAGTTGGTTTAATTGGAACAATTCTTTCACCTTGTTCCTTTTGTGGGGCTTTCTTCGGTGCGGTGATGGTCAAGATTCCGTCCGAAGACAAAGTGGAGCACACGTCCTTAGCTTCATGATCTACTGGTAACATATACCTTCTAATGAAGTGCCTCGAAATAAATCCATGCTCGTCCTGTTTCTCTTCATGTTTGCCTTCTACTACAATACAATTGTTGGTGATTTTGACGGTTACTTCTTCGGGCGTGAATTGTTGCACGTCGAGAATAACACGGAAGTTATCCTTGTCAGATGTCAGAGTAGAACCTGAGTCTTGACGAGCCAGTTCGGTGTTCCTCCATGGGCGGTAGTACCTGCTGGTGGTTGGGCGCATGGACATGCTGCTCATGAGGTCGTCCATTTTCAGACCAGTGCCAAAGCGTTGGTCGAAAAGGCGGGATGGTCTGGAGAACTCGTAGTCATCCCACCAGTCACGGAAAAGCATGGGTACCATAGACATTCTAAGAAAATTGTTTTAATACTAATTAAACATATTAATTACATTTTCTTACTTTGTGCTTTTGAAGAAAAACTTAGTTGTGGAGTGTTTCAGTGGAACGAGAGGAACTGAGCTGGTCAAGTAATGCACACCTGCATTTATACTGAAGGCGCATATTTTCAGTTATTTCTAGAATATCATGAAGCATAGGCTATTTTTAAAGCCGAGAGGCGGCGGTCACATAGTCTCATACGCAGTGGAAAATATGTGAAACGGTTTGATGTTGTTATGACTTCATCAGTTTTGTTTACCTTATTGGGTTACATTTAATATAAATCGCCATAAATATTACTAATGAAGAAAGACCTTATTGTTCAGACCATAATTCATGTGACGTTATTAGGGTTCATATGCTTTCCTCCTTAATTCTTTTTAATTAAACACTGCCAATGTCAACAAAAGAAACTGCTATATTTGCACCTCGCATATTTTCGTAACGAAAACAAATCATATTTATTTTCGCTAAAAATCCAATCTTTTTTCAGTTTCGAGACGGTTCAAAAACTTTACGAATAGTTTTTTTACATTTGGCATTTATCGAACTATGAATAATAAATCGTGACCGGAAACCAGATGATTAATTAGACTGCAGTGATTTGCTAGTCATTAATTGAATGATTGAAATCATTCACTTAATAATCTACTTGTAAAATTCTATGAAAATCAAAACATAATTTAGATTGACTTAATCCCTTGAAACTAGGCACTTAAAAAACTCTGGACTAGTTTTTAGATACACAATATATTACAATCAAACTACATAATTAAGTTAATTATATCACTTATGATTAGGATATCTTTTTAAAAGAATATTGACTTGTTTGTAAGACAATTTTTTTTCTCCAGGAGTTAGAATACCCTTTTCAGCTTGTTCTTTTTTAACTTGTTTGGTATTCATATGCTTAGCATAGCAATTCTTGAAGCTGTCAATCTCTTTGGAACATAGTGCTTGGTTAAATTCATATGTTTTAAAACAAGCCAGCATTACAGACATTTCTTGAATACAACAGACTTCTGATACTTTGTCTCCTTTTCCAGATACTGTGGGTTTTAGTTTCAGTGGCAATCGCTCTTGGAATGGAACTGGTTCTGATGAAGCTTTTCTCCATGCTAATAATGCTGTGAGCCTCATATCTAAAGAATAAAGTAGTTCAATATTTAATGTTTCATTATATTATAGATCAATTAACATACTTAGTTATTTTAATTCAATAAATCTTTGTTGTTCAAATATATCACCTAAAATTAATACAGCAATCGGGCCTGTAAAGTTCGAGGTTAACAGAGGTAGAAAAGTTGCCTATATTGGGTATACAGTTTACCGACAATGGTATCAGAAGCTTCGTTTTCCTGCAATCAATCCTGCCAATAGAAATAAATATTGCAAAATGTTAACTAATTAATGTGGGCTCAATTTTAAATCTTTTGCATACATATAGAATGCGTTCGTAAATGAAACGGTTTTGTAAAGGTTTAATTAAATACATGCGAGTCACTCTTTTGAATGACTTCACGAAATACAATGTTTTGCACGCAAGGCAATGTTTAAAAAATATCCATATTACTGAAATATTTCTAAACATGTTTATTACATTATTGAACTCAAATTCTTTATAAAAATATGTACATAAATACTATATAAAGTAATTAAAGCACAATAGTTACATATGCATCATTTTGAGACATCATTGTTAAAATTTACAAGACAGAATAATTAAATAAAGCATATTATACATGGGCCAATTCAAGCAAATTAAAATCATTAACAAGCCACCGTTAAAATTCCCGACGTATCGCTGCTCCAATGAACATTACTTTGCTGGTTGACTAGTGCCCATATGTATGGAATGAAAAACTCTTCAGGCTGCTCCTCTTCAACATATTTGAACTTTAAATCCGGAAATTTCTAAACCAATTCATAATCATTAAATAATACTAACATCTACTGTTTGCTAACGTTTAACTTACTGTTAACTTATCCTTAGGCCAATGCCTAGCTCCTTGGCAAATAACATTCAGCACAATATGTGCATCCACCTCCTGATGTTGCATTTTACTACTCAACAAATCAGAAAAGTACTCGATGATAATCTCAATATTGTGTACGATATCAGAGAAAGCTGGATTGGTCTTGAATTGCTTGAAAACATCCTTTTTATAGAGCAATGTATACACCAGATTTGGGTTGTTATGCAGTTGGTGCGTCAACGCCGAATTAAAAATCTCCAAAACCATGCGCAGGACTTCCTCAAGAACGTACATGTACTGCTCGGCATCTGGAACTTCTTGTCCATCGGCAATCTGTACTTGCACTGAGTTAGCATCTTGTAGTTGTATCTCCACCTCCGCTTTGAAACGTTGATAACGTTTAGCGAGCGTTTCAAAAAGTGAAACTAATCTTTGGCATACATAGGGATGAAGGTCTCGGAACTGCGATGACATGTTTGCAAGAGCGGCGAGGCAATTTGTGTGCAGGTATTTGTCTTTCATCTTCAGCATATTGTACTGAATTGTTCTTATAACTACTAATACCAGTAGGCCACCCAAGGACACTTCGGAGAGGACACGTTCAGTGTACCACGTGACATTTTTCAATTTCTATTGGTAAATGAAATCGAAATTAATAAATTGCCAATAAATATATAATAAACTAAATTACTCACACTCTGATGAATAGAGCGATTAAAACTTTCATCTTCACTTAGAATCAACAAAATAATCAATGACATGTAGATATGATGTGAATTACTGTCTGGTGCATGATATAATGTTTTTAAAATCGGAATCACCTAAAAACAATAAATACGTGATAAAAATAGCAGTGTTTTGAAATCTTAAATATATATATAAACAGTATTTATGCTTACCAGTTGATTTAAATCGGCTCTATTTAATAAATGTGCCTTGAAACCAGCATTTCGATGAAGCAATAAATATAACAACAATGTAGCAACATCTCCAGAAGCCTTTTTGCACAACACACTAAATAATTGACTATATTCCACCCGAAACACTCCGGTATCTTGTGTTGGAGCAATTGGATTATTATCTAAACATAATAAAACAAAAATTATCAAATGATAAGTACGAATCTTTAAAAAAAATTACCTTGACTATTCACACATGAAAATAAACATTGGCGATAAGGATTCGGCTGTATCGAGCAGTGATTCGCCAGTACTAAAATTAGCAATAAACTGTGCATGCCCAATGGACTTGTTTCCACTTCAACTCCTTCGATAGTTTCACTATTTGCTGGTTTTCTAGTAAATGTCAAAATAGACCATATTTCTGTAGCCAGGCCTAGCACAATACTGCTGCCATGACCATCACCAGGTGGTTGCTTCTTTTGCTCAATAAAATTTTGAAGTAAACTCTTGACAAATAATGGAGCATGGATTGAATGCCTTCCTTTCATTATTAATCTAAACATATTAACCAAACATGTTATTTGAAATTTTCGAAAACATTGACTTAAAATATTTTTACCTAAAGATGTTTGATTGGTCTGGTCTTTGATTAGAATGAATTTCAATTGATAACAGAACCAGAATTGTTGTTATTGCTTCCAGGTGAATGGCATAAGTGAAATCTTTAAGTGGTACATCCACCACAATGCCAAACAAAGATCCCAACAGTGTTTCCAGCTTAACAACATTATTTTCCGGACCAGTCTCAATGTGTTGCATTAACTGCTCTTCTGGAACCATCTCTGTTAGATATTTTAGTATACATCTTATGATAAACAGAGCATTGAGTGTCTGCCAACTAAATAGATTACTGCAAAGATAAAAATACTTATTTCATATAGTTATGATAATATTACTAATATTTACTTGTCTGTAGTTGTTGCAGCCAATAGCTCTGATGCTCTCACTAAGAACACTTGTATTAAAGAACTGATATTTCTTGACTGCAAGTTGTTATTGATAAGTTGCTGCAGCAGAGGCTCAATTTTAGTTTCCAAAAAGAGTTGTTCATTGCTAGAAATTCATAAAATTTGTTTTAATGTTAAAAAGAAAATTTCTAAATCAACTTTAACTCACCTGGTCTGTGGAACAGTGATATTAAATGTAAGAAACGAATTCCAAAAGGGATCATTTGGTGAAATAAACTCCTTCCCAATAAATTTCAGAACAAACTCATTGCTGTTCAGCTCAGTCTGCTTGGTGACTGCAATTCCCATTTCAAGCTGAAAATACCCGGTGTAAATTAATAAAACGTGTCGGTGTTGGATTTTACGTGGGTAATTACCTGTTTCTTGATCTCATATGAAATCGTTATGCGAGCTTTGCTGTTGTCATAAATATTCGAAGTTGATGTTTCTCCTACGAATCGTACGAGTCGGGAAATATAACCTTACACGTCATGATTTCATCTGACGTTGTTGACATTTTATCGGCGTGATGTTTGCATTTGTGTGGGTGGTGTCAAGATAATAAAGACTACTGTAAGTAGATCACAACCGGTGCTGCCACCACATTGTCAAACATTAAGTTTCAAAATAGTTTTAAACGTAATTCTAAACGCATTTCGATTTGTTTTTGGTAATTATATTTGTGTATAGCCTTGTTAATTACAATTCGGTAATATTAACCATAAATATTAAAATATTTCACATTCTCATTAACAGAGAACTTGCAAACAGTCATTTTGTGTTGATTTGCACAATTAATTTGCATCAATCTTCTTGTGTATTCATTTTAACCAAAATTTTTGAAGTGTTATTCTTGTTAAATTTTTAAAAACGTGTTCTCAAAGCTGAGTAAGAATAATAAGTTGGTCTCAGTTAGTCATTGGGCTCGTCCGTAGGCTAGAGAAGAGCACAAATCCTCTCAAAGAACGCGGCGCGCGTTCAAAACACATATTTACCTGTCGCGGTGTGTGAGTGCGCGCGTACCTGTTGCGCCCAAGAGGATGTAGTCGATGCAGGCCGTGTAAGACGCGTAGACGCAAGAAGGAGCGAAGTATGCGAGTACCGATAATGCGGAGGAGAACGAGGAGGACGGTCGGTGATGGCGATGGTAGGTAGAGGAAAAGTGGAGGCCAACCGCGGCATCGTACGCGGACCGCTGACCGGCCGGGGCCGCGCGCGGCAGAATGAAGTGGAATGAAGAATGCCACAGTGATGAGATCTAACTGTGTCTTGCTGCTGGTGCGCCGTTCCTGTTTTGCCTGTTAGCAGCGTGCGCGTAGTGTTTCTAGTTTCGTCCATCGTAGCAATAACTGTTCAGGTGCTTGTGCTTACACGTCTACCGAAACACAAACGAAACGAAAAAAATACGAAGAAATACTCAAGACGTCCGCATCGCAAAGTGCAAATGTTTTCGGCGCGGTCGGGTCGATGGATTTCTGAATAGTTTAGGATATTATCACCGGTGTGTAACCGAACGACGATGATTAGAAGAAGATCGGCGGCAGTGCCATCTCGGAAAGCGGGCGCTGCTTTGTTGGTGGTGATGTTGGTGTTTGTGAACTCGGTGGCGTGCGTGGATGAGAAAAACAATCAGACTATGGCAATTAATGCAACTTCAAGTGTGGATAGTATTTTAAAAAATGGTATGATGATTTTATTACAATCTCATAGTTTTTATTAAGTTTAAAACTAATGTGCAGATAATTGCGGTTTTCTTTTAAATATTTTAATGCGAGCCGGTGGCACGAGCCGTGTGTTTATTGCGGTGGAATGCTGTTGGAGAGAAGAAAAGAAGTGTCGACGGGTTTTGTCTAAGTGTGAAATATGTGGCACATTGCGCCACATTATTGAGGATATGATGGTGATTGTTGATAGTTGCATGCATCGTTTCTAGATTACAGTAACATTATCTTTGCGGTCAACAAATTTCACTTAAATTTAACTTGAAAAAACCCAAACATTAGCAGATTTCTACGTTTTTATCTTATATATTTTTAAAATTTGCCTCTATTGGGTTTTTAAACAACAATAAAATTAATATAAATTGGTTTAGATAATTAACTTTCTTATTATGAATCATTGAATTCTATAATGCATTAAATTCTAAAGTTATAACCTGCCAACATAAAAATTTTACCAATTAGTCGATGTCAATGAAATTCAAAATGAATAAACACCTTACCTCATACCGAGTGCCAGTTATCTTGATAATTATGATCATCATGATGTTAAATTAAACATCACACAATACGAAGCGGATTTCTATTGATCAAGGTGCAACGTTAATTACCATTGAGATACCGGCTTCTCAGCTTCCAACTTGAGATGTTTGATGCGCGTCTACGCAATCTCAATACCCAATATTATTAAATCACGTCTTTCCCAGTTTAACGTTTTCTTTAGCGTATTCATCGCTTATGTATCTACGATTTTCGTTTTTAAAGCTGTCTAGGCACTACCTTCAACTCGCCGATGAACATTGATGCATACAAATTGCGTTATCTCATTATGAAATCATCACGATTTATTTTCGTTCGCTTTGTAATAATGGTACGAGTATAATCCTCGAATGCTTCTCGTTCGTGGCCGCTGCGCGCACGAGAAATTGAAAGAACAAGAGAGATTCAGAGGTTTTTCATTTTACTCTGCGTACTGTGTAGATATTTACCCATTTATATTAGCATTTAGAATATTCTCTTTAATATATCTATTGTATTCGAGATGCAGGAGATGCAGCCGGAGTAAAAATGCGCTTGCGCAATAGCTCTGATAGCTGTAAGCATTGTGCCTGCATCATGCACCGACAGAAGACTGAACGAAACTGAAGGCGTTGGATTATTATATGATATTATAGCTATTTGTATACTTTTGGCAAAACCGTTAAATGTTATATTGGTTTAGGGAGTGCTCGCCGGTTTTGAATGTGAAATGTTGCTAACGTGTGAATTATTTCTTGATTCAAGTCGTGAAAATGAGCTGCGTTGAAAAATATTGCTTATGCTTATTTTAGATATACCGGAATATAAGGTAATTTCCCAACCTGACAGGTTCACTTTCTAAAAATAATGCAATCACGTCGAGGAAAACCCAAACCGTCGAAACAACAAATGGAAACCGCTTGCGAAATTACTTCCATGCTTTGCTTTATCAATGACTAAATGTTTTTTTCGTTTGGTTTGACGAAATGGCAATTATCATTAATTGCCTAAGCCCCTAAGTGTTTGATTAGTGTAGCTTTTACTTCTGTACAAGTGCACGCGGGTCCAAAAGTAAATGTTTAACTTATAATTTGTTGGAATCGCTAATTTCGTTTCCCTCGCAGCGCATGCACGCAGCTAAAGAGTGAAGACCGTGAGACCTCTCTCACCGCAAGTACGCTGCAAACTCTTCCAAAGTCCGGGCGATCATCGTCGTGTTCGATGCTTGTTCCAATACTTAATTTAATTGAAAGGATTCGTGAAAGGTAGTTTTTATCTCTCCTATCTTGCAGCGCAAGTAAACTGCGCGATTTGAATGAATCAAATCGTTTACGATTTTTAAGTGCAGCGTAATTAAATGCTGCACGAAAAAAACTTGCAACATTGATATAAATATTATTTTATTCTTGTATTTAAGTCGTGAGAATTTTGAAACGTAAGAATTCTCGAGGATTATCACGGATTGATATATTTTTGCAACTTATATTGCAAATATATTTATTACATGAATGCGTAATTTACACGAAATTTATATTATTCCAATAAATGCGATATGGGACTTTAGTAGTTTTGATTTATTTTTTAAAATATTTTTATTTTATAGTTGAAGTTGAAAAAGTGTTTCGTGATTTTTTTGCATTGTTTATTATTGAAGTAGCAATTTCTCAGATAATAGTTCTCAAAATTAATGTTTTCTCAGTGTTATCAATATCCCGATGCTCATGAAATTGAGGAAAATACATGAAAGTTACTGAAATTTAATACATTCGGAAACTTTTAAGTAATCCGATAACAGAATTCTAATAGGATGCATTTTTTCTTAATTTTTATTAGCATGTTTTTATCGCAGGTATAATTAACTTAAGAAGCCATTTATTGAAGAGAGGTACAAAGTCCGCCGGGAAGCTAGTTATAAAATTAAGTGTGATTGATTAAATACCGGATTCTGAGGATAACTACTTTTTATGGATTTCCCTTAAAATGCAATCAATACAGGATGCAATTATATTCGAATCTTAATTAAAACAATTGGTAATTTGATTATTGCTAAATATTATGAATACGTCTAAACGTAATTTAAATTTGAAAGAGAATGAACATGTTGTGCGTTACCATTAGTTGTTAAATTCGTTTAATTTGACCTGTGGCAATGCGCCAGCACATATTCAGTTTTGTTTAGCTGGTGCTTTTAATGCCGCTGCAACAATAGAACAATGAAAATATTTCGACGCTCGTGAAAGTGTGAATTTCCCATACAATTTGGGCTGTGATTGTTCACCAGTTTGCGATTTTACGACAAAACATCCATTCAATTTGAATCTGTTTGAAGAATCGTTCGAAAAGTCCGAAATTAACTTTTAATAATTAAATAGCACTCGACGAGCATGTGCATGTGCGTTGACAATGGCGATAAATTGGCCTTCCATGCACGATTACTTCGACACGTTTTGAGAATAATGCCGTTTTCATGGCATAACACTACGTTACGTAAACCAACGGCTAACAGTTTCCACTTATTGTGCGATAAAAATTTATTGTACGTGTGTGAGGTAAAACAAAAAGTAACTTCGGGTACAGACGGATTATTGAGGAGGTGCTTTTCCTGCTTTTGTATTCTTTTTTGTTGAATTGGCAATGGTACAGTTTATGCTATGGCGTGTCGTGGCCGAAGAAAACGAGGAAGAGTCACGAACAAGTTGGAAGTGTTGGAAGCACGCGGACATGCGGAATCAAAGTGATGGCACTACCGCACTAATAAATACGGAATCGCGGATATGCGCCATAACTCGCTGAGCGGAGCGTTTACCTCATGTGTTGATTTCAATTAAAAGCATGTTAACTCGTTTGCCGTAACTGGAACGCAGATTTTGATTATTATAAAACCAGATTTTATTGGAGCATTCGTACAATAGCACAAGGTTTACGACGCATCAAAGCTTATAAGTAATTAAATAGAATTAAGAACTTTTTCTCGTTAATTTGTATCAAAACATTAAATGTTTTTGTTTTCTATTATATTAAATTGAGAAAACATTGTATTTTAACCTAATTCACATGCTTAATCATTAAACGCGGAAATTATTTTATTTTTATTTACGCATTTACGAACTGCGGAGATTATAATTTAAAAAATAGCCTATTTATTTACTTTGCTGTCTGTAGGACTTATTATGTACAAAATCCACAAAATAATATTTTATTTTAAACAAATGAAATATGCTAATAGTAGGCTAATAGTAATTTTGCAACGAAAAAACCTCCTTAGTAATATAATTACATAAAAATTACATACTGTATGTTATTATAATGTAATAAACTTGAACTTGCTTCAGAAAGGAAAGCACACGCCGTGCAACTCACAAATGTCATACAGGAAAAGGAGTATCTGAAATATCCACTTAGTCAATGAAAATTATATAATCGTATATGAATACCTATGTTAGTAGTATTTTATTGTTGTTTTTGTCTTCGTGTGATTGTAGAGATTTCCCTTCGTATGCGTCTACGCATATAATAGTCAAGAAATAGGTATTATTTAGAAATTCAAAGGTTCTTCACTCCGCAAACACTCTTGGAATTAATATTGTGCATGGTGTAACATTATTGCAATTGGTTCTGCATTGTGTGTGTGCAGCATTATCGATCGTAATTGACGGTTGCACAACCTGTAATTAATACATTTGCAATGAATGTTTATATTGAAGCTATTAAGGGGATTCATATTAATCAATCTTGGATTTGTAGGCTAATGTTGTTACGCTGTTTTTTTTTATATCTCAATATGTTTTATTATTACTATTACACATAGATGATTAATTGATTTGTCATTCCGACTATAATTTATTTTATTAGTTATAATTTATTGTTAGGATTGAAGCAGAGGAGTGTTTGATTTATATTTTAAAATACATCATGCGTTTATTTTTTCAGGTGTATACATTAACTTTTTTTGCAAATTTACTAAATATACAATGTATTTATTATTGGAATGAAAGTTTGTTTAAAGTAAAATTTTGTTCATCTACTGACTTCGCTAGTATATTGAACCGAGTAGATAAACTAACGAGCTAAAACTTAAAACAAACAAAAAATGCAAAAACGTTGTCGACCTTTTACGGCTGCATTCCCATCGCCTGCAATCTCCGCACAGCATCCAGCCATTTGTAGCGCTACACTACGAATACCTTGCCGCAATCGTCCTTTAGCTCCACGCAGCTCGCGGCATGCACCACGCTCATATTTTACAATTTTACAAATGCGATTTCGTAATAAACTCGCATCGATTCTGCACGTGAGTATGCCGGCTGAGGCGTGTGGAGCTCAACAATTAGTCAGCACTACCGAGTCACTTGAATTCTAATAATGCATTAATTGCAAAATAGTAATCACGCGTCATTGCTAATAATCACACAATTGCACACCCATTTGGAATAATGACTGACCTAAGCCAATGTATGCAATTCTTAGCGAGAAGCTGTAGGCTGCACTGATTGTCGGATAAGAAGAAGAATAAGAAGAATACGACAGCAGGTGTCTGCGAAAAATGCCATTAGCACCGTTTTACAATTAAATCTGTGCTGCCACTGATACCCAGTGTAAAATAATGCATTGCTGGTATTTAATGCTAATGCAAGTCGATTGTTTATTTTGGAACGAGCACACACCTCACAAATACTTTTAATTTATGTAAAGAGATTATTAATTTGAAAACAGTGTGAATTGCGATTTAAGTGGGTTAGTGTTATATGCGTGGGCAATTGGATTGTTTTCACACTTTAATTTAGGTAACAGGAAGGTTTTCTAAAGAAAATTTCAAGTAATATAAGTCACATGGAAGATTATTATATTTTTCTTCTAATTCGCTTAATTTTGTTAAATTTCTCAGTTGATGTCATTAAAATGACGACTATTAAATTAATCTACATTAAAATATCATAAATATTAACTTTTCTTGACAAATTATACCAAAATAGAAGAAATGTATTTTTTAATCACTCCAAATAACAAGGTTAGTCTTTAAATTTCAAATGTTTGCATTCATTTGTATTATTTAGCTACTTCTCATCATTATTTGGTATATATTAAGTTTAATTTTGTGTCATTTGTCGCTGTTTCCTGTGTGTACATCGGCGACAGACCTTCCCAAGGTTACTTTTACAAAAATTTACATTATTTGTATTGCTCAGCCGTGTATTTCATCCTGTTTTCATTTACTTTTTGTTTCAATGGCAGGTATTTTTGCGCGTTTCCTTGGAATCGTTTTCGAAATAAAAAATACAAGTCGTTTTGCGATTTTCATTGTCAACATTTACATTGTCTCGCGGTGCACTTCGTATGCGAGCGGCAGACATGTGGTTACTTTCTAAATACTAATGCAGAAATTTCACCGCGCCTGTCGAACGTTGACTCGTATGCAATGACACTTTTGCAAAATACGCACAGTTGCGCGTCGAAAGTGCGACTTGAGTATGATAAGCGCAATACAAAGCTCGAACGCATTTCCAATCTCTGGAGTTTAGTGATTGTAAATTCAAAAGAAAGTGTTGATAAGTAGTAACTGAGATAATGTAAAAATGTGTTAATATGTAATTTAATACTTTAATACAGGGTTTGTTTAATAAAGAGTAAAATATAAGATTAAATACGCATTTTCTACGTTACAGAGTACAATGACTGCAATAACAGACTGCATTGTACGAATAATTATAATCAGTTAATTGTAATGAAAGAAGCAGTTTTTGCAAGCTATTGTAGTATATGGAATATAAAGTAGGTTTTACCACATTCGGTACCTCAAAGATATCGTTGCAATTCTGATTATAAACAGTAACAGACGTAACAGACGTTTCTCGGTGAATTTTTATCATGAAATGCTAGTTTCTAAATTTATACTAAATAAACTTCTTGAAATTTCAGTACGATGTAAAGAGTTTTGTTATAAGGGCAAGAGTTTACATTGTAGCTATATGCAAAATAAGAAATTTAGAAAAATGAAAATATTGAGATTTGTAAATTTGAAAATAATGCTATTTGCTTATTTTCCCACCCTGTCTTGATTATCTACAATATTAATTAATAAAATGTATTATTTCTAAGAGTGAAAGTTAAAATTCTAGATTGATTGCTATATTAATTACAATTTACAACAATTATGACTTCACACGTATATTAAATTCCTTGCTTTATAATAAAAGAAAATTGAATCGATTAAAAATAAAAACATACAATATATAGTTAATGCGTTAATGACACCTAAACAAGGAAGTACAATATCAATGTAAATCCTCATCTGGGTTAATGACACTCTTAATTAACACATTTATTTTATACTTTTTACGCTTCAGGTACATTTAAAAAATTCAAGTTTGCTCATTTTATACAATCCTGTTATTTATTAAATTACCAACAATCATGATATAAACGTAAACGTTGCTAAGTATTACTTCTATTATATTACTACTATAAGCATTCAGTTATGGTTGTCCTACGTACGAAAAGTTTGCCAAACTTAACGGTTTATATTTTATATCTGACTAATAAACAAACTTGTTAGGCTGCCATTGGAGGTACCTCATAAATATAAATATTACATATGAGTCAAGCATCACTAACTTTTTCAACGGTATGTAATAAAGTTATGATGTCAGTTAAGTCAAGCAACACGATGATGTATTTACAAGAACAAGAACCAAAAAATATGTTCGAAATGTGTTAGTAGGATTTGATATTAACGATAAATGCCAGACAATTATTAATTATTATTAATAATAGTAATCTTAAAATTAATATTTTATGCATTTTGGATTTGAATTGCACTTTCTCGAATGATTAAAAACCATAATTAATATTCCTTGTTTCTACAATATTTTGTTTTATAAGTACCACATAACCAAACTTGTTTTTAACCGGAATTGAGAATAAAAATAAGAACAGACTACGAATGTCGCAGTTACGGTGCCAAACACAGATATAACAAAATATTCATATACAAAAATGATAATATCAAATGAAATACGACCATAATCTGAAGAATGTACGCCGTTGTGGACTTGCAACTGGAAATTAAACTACTAGAAAACAACATGCTGACAATGATATTCTACGCCCAAGCAGCGTACACGTTTATTGTTGGTGCTTCTATTCGAGTGTAACATCACAATTTTTGTTCTTCAGCGTGCGCAGCAAGCACGCGGCATGAAATATACGTGGAGAAATTTATGTAATACGTAGGATAATCCCACACACAATCACGATTGTTGCATGTTTTCATGTTTCTAACTTTTCTTTGCACAGAACCAAGCCGTTCGCATGCGAGCATTATGCTATACAATATAGATAAGTCCAACGAAGCGTATGCATAACGTCATGGGCATAGCGAATAAACTTTCCTGTTGTGCATTCTTTTATTTTGATATTGAATTGCACAAAAACTCGTTAATGTGCTTGATATGAGAATGAAATTTAAATTGATTTTCTAATGTGTGGAAAGACAATTTTGATTTTTTTGCCTTGTAGATTGAAACACCAACGCATGTGTATTTGTGTATAGTGGAATTTCCACTTTGTTAATTCACGATTATCTCAACATTAAATATCAGAACAAAAGTTATATAAAAGAGCGTGAGAGTTGGTAAATGTTTCTTGACCAATAGCCGGATGAGCCACCAAGATGGCATGCAAGATCTCGGTCAAAGTGACTAATGGGCAATTTGGATTGTTCATTTCTCGATAATTGCGCATGCTGTCGCATAACCTAATAAATAATTCATTTACCTAACCAATATTACATCAGAACAATGCTTAACCTAAGATTTGCTTGCAAACTCACGCAAATGCTAATTCACAGGTAATTGTTGATTTTTATTTATTTTTCAATACAATACTGCTTAGCATATATTTGCAAATAATTATAATCTACGTATTTCGATTTTCATCGGCCTCCTTTCAGATTAATAATAATTACAATAATTATTCTGTATCCTACTTTATAATTATATTGCTAATACAACACGTAAAAAATAACTAAATAAAAGATACTCTATTGAAATACAAAAAAAGAGAGATATTTCTACATTTCTTTAAATTGTTGAAAAAAAGAATGATTAACAAAAAAATCTACGTTTTGGTGTGCCAAAATGCTAAATGCTCACTTTATTTATAAAGTTCTAAACGTGAACACATTTAACGCCAGTTGAATTCATTAATTAGCTGTGTATTGTGGAATCGTGCACGAAAACTAGAATGTAGCCATAATCTAACTGTTTTTTACTGACTGAAGATATTTGGTTCCTCGTTCAAGTCGTCGGCGTCAATCGGCATCGTTCCAAAAAACAATCCAAATCTTAATTTCACGTTCAAGGCCTCGACCTACTTTGAACTACCTTTTCTTTTACGAATGCGTTAATACTTATGATGATTCATGTACGCCATTCTAATATATAAAATATTTATGTCGTAGAAAATTGAAAAAAGGTTTAATTGCAATATTTGTTTATTTTAATAATTTCAGACACAAATCAACCGTACATTCAAGAAATCACAACTACCATTGCACCAATTTTACCCATAATAGTTCCTACGGTTCCTACTACCACAAATGCCAGTGATGCCTCGACGAGTCGACCAAAGGAAGCAAAAAGTCGGGCGCTCGAATTTGATCCCAACGACCAAGGCAATAATCTTAGCAATAAAACGATGGATTTGAGCAATGTAAGCTTGGATGATGACGATGAAAATGATGAAACACCGATGATCAGTGCGAAGATTTTATCGGTAAAGCCGACGTTGAGAGTGCAGAATCATACTACGACTGGTCAATGTGAAAAAGGTGGTTTAACATACGACAATGGTGAAAAACTCGAAGTGGATTGTGATCTGGTGTGCACATGCGAAAATGGTACCATGGATTGTGTGGATAGATGTTCGGGACCTTACATTCGGAAAGGAAAGAAAATTAGTGACCCATTTTGTAGGGAAGCACCTAGTGATGATCAATGTTGCTCCGTTTTGCAATGCACATCAGACACAGGTTTGAATCATGATAAATAGTCTTTACTAATAATTAAGAGTAAAATGTGAACAATTTTAGAAACTGAACCTTTAGAAATCTGTCACTATCAAAACAAAACATATAACAGGGGTGATGTTATCAAGGAAGGTTGTAATGAAATTTGTTCCTGTGAGGCTTCTGGAAAACTAAGTTGCAAACCAAGGTATGTTCAATTATAATAAAATAGATACTAATAAAATAAAGTAATAATAAATCGTTTCAGATGTAACCCAATAACGAAAACCTCAGATAAATGCCTGGAAATTCCGGATAAGAATGACCCATGCTGCAAAACAGTTATTTGTGATGTCACTTTAAAGGATAACAAGCTTACTTCAGCTAAATATATAAATGCCACCACTATTAAGTTAGAATTTGATTCAAAGTTGGAACCAAATCAAACATTACCACTTATTGATGTGAGTGATGACAAAAATACATGGAAAACTTATACTCCTCTGAGTGGTGGTTATTTATCTCAACTTGAAACGACATTTAAATACGCAAAAATTGAAAACACCGATGATTTTGTTGAAATCCAAGGCATGGCAGATGATTTAAGAAAGAACGAAAGTGCTTCTGATCTGCAGACGAAACCACAACACTGTTTGTACAAAGGAGTTGAATACAGACTTGGTCAAGAATTCAACGACGCATGCGAGTCGTTCTGCGTATGTCGAGAAGCAGGCGTCAAGTGTTTGAAAATGGAATGTCCAACGTATTTTGGCACGGATGTATTGGATCCAAATTGCATTGAATGGGAAACGGTACCGGCAAATTTCACACCTACACCTCCGGTGTGTTGCCCGGAAAGATTGCATTGCAAAAACAACGGTTCGTGCGAGTACGAGGGTGGCATGTACCAGAATTGGCAGCAAGTACCGACAAACGTGACCGGTTGTGAAAAACGCTGCTATTGCGAGATGGGCAACGTAGAATGCCAAAACATTTGCCCACCCGTGACGGAAACGCCTCCATCTAATCTTGAGTGTCCGGCTCATCAAGCTGTATTAAATCATTTGCCCGGCGATGATTGCTGTATGTACTGGATGTGTAATGAAAAGGAAAATACAAGTAAGTGATAGTTTTAATATATTATCGAAAATATGTTTGTGGGAACGCATGATATTATTATCGAGTCAGTTTTGGAGTATATGCAATATCCGTTGTTGTGGACCACTTACTATGTACATAAACCATGACTTTGTGGGACTGGACTGACTAATCCTGGTTTCGGCTTCTTCTTTAACCAACTCAATGATATGATAAGAGTGCAAACTTGTATTGATTGTGACCTAAATTATAGGTACGCAACCACCGCGTGTGGAAGAAGTAGAACCAGGCCATAGTAACAAGTCAAATGACGTTCAATTACCGTTCCCCTTCCGCCCGACCAAAGCACCTTCAAAAACATCAGGCCCCTTGTTAATTTACGAAAATGTTAATCACACTCTCGGTAATCCTAAATTGCAACCCGACGAAAACCATTACTTACATAATCCGCATAGAGATGAGCCCAAACATAAAAAAACAGTAGATACTCATACAGAAACAACACCTAGACCTGTACCATCAGAACCTTTTGAAAACGAAGCCGATGACGCATATTTAGGTCCATTTAATCCAACATTTAAGAAACCGTCAAAACCGCCTAAGTCTAAACCGCGACCAAATTTTGTTACGCCATCCCCGCAAAATCATAATAACAATAACGATAATTATATTCCGGAGTATAATGATCACGATGACAAACATGATCAGGACGATAATCAGGAACAACCTCTCGGTATTCATATTCACGGTAAAGGCAATCCGGAAGAATTGTTACACATTATTAATCAACACCCTGAATTGGCGGAATATCCACCTGGCTCTGTGCTTGAAATTCATAATGTGCCACCAAGGCCTCAACAGAGACCAACTCAATACAATGTAAACTCTCCACCAAATAAAAACGGTCCACCTGGTTTACCGCCAGGTATCTCCTTAGAACAAATCTTGCAAGAAATTCATAAAAACGGCCCTAATGGACTGGTCCCTTACCCTAACAATCCATCCCATCCCGGACAGATTTACGTACAGGCTCCTCCGCATTTACAAAGACCCCAAACAAACGGACGTCCACAGCAAATCATTCCAGGTTTGTGCCCCATTGCAATCATTGTCCTGGTAATTATAAGTGCTTGATATAATAAAATATTCTTTTGCTTTAGGTTTACAACATCCAGGCATGATTCCTGGAAATTTCCCGAATGTGCCAGGTTACCAACAACCGACTAGTGATATCACCGTCAATTCTGTGGAAGCAATCGATGCACATACTGTACGTTTATCATTTGCTGTTCCTCCGATAATTGTGGGTCTGCATGGACGTGTCGAAGTTCGTTATACAGATACCGAGTAAGATAATATTGCTAAAATGAATCTTGTAATTTATACTTTTACTTTGCAGTGATGATAATTTAAACACGTGGAAATTGCAAGTATTTGCCACCACAAATGATTTGATCGGAACGCAGGCTTTGGAATTTGATCTCGTTGGGCTACGCGCCGACACCGACTACAGAATCAAGATAACAATAACGCTGCGGGATTTACATAACATGCCCACCAGCCGGATATACAAAATTCGCACTCTAAAGGAAATCCCCAGCAGCACGATGCCAGCCATGATTCCTATCGAGCCGGAACTCGTCATCACCGAGGTGAATGCGACGTGGGTGAGTGTCGCTTGGAGAAAGTTTGCCGAAAACGAAATGCAGTACATCGACGGAGTGCAGCTTCGGTTCAAAGAGATCGATGGCAAGATATACGCTGCCACGCCACTGATTCATCGCGCCGTTACCAACTACACGCTGGAGAATTTGAAACCGAACACCAAATACGAAATCGGTATCTTTTTCATTCCGTTCGCCGGCCAGCATACCGAACTGCATGCTGAGCACATGCTCCATTTCACCACAGCAAACGAAATCGATACGTATGGCTTCAATGTAACACTGGAGATTGCGCTGATTAAAGCCACAAATGTCGAGATATCATGGTCTGGCGTGCCCTATCCAGAAGACAAATACGTCAACATTTATAGAGCAATCTATCAAAGCGATTCGGGCAAAGGGGATTCGAGTACTTTTAAAGTAGCTAAACGCGACTCACCATCGAAAACCTCCATCAACGATTTAAAGCCTGGCACACGGTATCGTCTTTGGCTGGAGATTTATTTAACAAATGGAAAGATAAAGACGAGTAATGTGCAAGATTTTATCACCAAACCGAGATCCGCACCTAATCTGGGCGCTTCTTCCAAACAAGGTAATCAGCATGCCATAAATGCAAATGGCGGAATCAGTTCATAATATTTATTTTGCTTTGCAGATAAATTATCCGGCAATTTGCCCGACGAAAAATCCGACTATTATGGTCCACTAGTCATTGTAGCGATATTAGCAGCGATAGCCATTCTGAGCACGCTGGTGCTCCTCTTGATTTTGGTGCGACGCCATGGTCAGAATAAGGCGTGCATCACGCCACCGACGCGAGTCAGTCAATCGGCGTACGACAATCCGACGTACAAAGTGGAGATCCAGCAAGAAACGATGGGTAAGTACCATCGCAAATAATTAACGCTGTGCGTGTGTTCAGTGTGTTTGAATTACATGAAATATACTTGATGTTTTAGATTTATGAGAGACTATTAAGTAAATAGAGCAGTGCATGGTAATGTATGTTGTAAATATTTATACTTAACTATGACGTAAGAAGAAAGTGTAAGTTTTAACTAATTTTAATGAAGAACTCTATATATAAACACTCATGTAAGAATAACATTAGAATTATGTAAAATATTCTTTCTAAAATCAGCGGATACATAAATTAGAAGAGGTTAACCTTAATGCGCAATATTTATTCAAATAAAAGTATAAATTAAGTCCCAAAATGAGGTAGTTTTTTTTTTTGTCTCATGGCGCATTCTGACCTTTCCATTTTCTTATTTATAGTTTCATAAATACGTAACATTAATTATAATAATAAATAATATACTAATTAAAAATTTATTCATGCGTTTAAAACACACAGAAAATGTGTGATTCTGTTTTTACTCTAAGTTAATATTAGGTGAAGTGCGAACCCTTCGGTTTTTTTTATTTTTCCCAGATTTATCACGCTTCTTCGATGCATTGCTGCTAGCCACCGATTCGGCAGGCGACGATTGATTGGAATTGTCCTGCATTATATCACGCAGCATTATATCACAATCTTCATCGCCTTCGACGTCGACATTGACCGAATCCATATCGGAGAGAGCATTACTACCTTTCTTTGGTGTTCCTATAGAAATAATAACAAAACATTTTTCCTTGAATTCAATTATTTTTCATTTGATTGTGGTACAAACCTTTTCCTTTTTTACTTCTATTCCTTTTCCTCTTCCTAGTCTTCTGCCTGGAACTCCATTCAAAATCATCATCCCCATAGTCACTAGCATCCTCTTCTTTGTCTTTGGTGCTTTTATTACTATTGGAACTGTTGTTACTGTTGCTATTATTACCAATAATACTATGAGAAGTTCCTCTGCTGGGATTTTTCCTACGACCGAAACCCATGCATTGTTCTAAATGAGAAGCAAACCTGTAAAATAATAAATATAATTATTTAAACAAGTCCAATCATGGTTATGTTTAATTATACCTTGAGATAGCAAGAACTCTATCACACTTGGGGCAATCGCAGTTGTCTTGCACCAGGATGTCATTTCCAAAAATGTCATGAGAATCTGGATCTATATGTGTAGTAGACTGATCTGGTTCAGGATCCAGCCCTATTAATGTGGCTGCTCTGTGCACCTCAAAAATTATACCTAATGTTAGTTCATCAATTAAATTATCTAAAAACTTATGCATGATTCTTTGAAGCATATTCTTGTTAGACAGAAGCTCTCGGAGCTCCTTGTCGGAAAAGGTATATTCATCATCATTAAAGTCCTCTCCCATTTCCCTGAATTGCTGAAATGGGTTGCACTTAAGAAAGAAGTTGGCAATTTTAACCTTCAATTATTCACCTTCTGTGCAAAATTCCAGTTAAAATGACTGATATAACAGTTTACACCACATTCTAGATCTGAAAAAACAAAACCGATTACTTTTTAATCCAGCGTTTAAATTGTATATAACGATATATCTTTTGATAAAGTGGTATTATTGTATACATTGTTTTGTTTTGTATGTAAGTATTAAAAAAGACACGTACCAAGCGAATATTCTCGCAATGTCCGTTATAAAACAATTCTTAATATTCTGAAGATCTTGATATCAGGATATGTTGCACTTTGTTAATTCAGAATTAATGTAGAAAAAGCATAATTCCACCCCAAAAGCACCTTAGCAGCAAGTAGAAGAATGAAAGTTTACATTCCAAAGCAGGTTTACATGCACTTAGTAGCAATTTTAGTTCATAGATGTCGCGCCAATACAGTAAATTAGTTTTATTGCTTGAATATTGGTATATTGGTAAAACTTATTATTAAAACTCTTAAAAAGGATTATTAATGTCTATGAATGTTATTATGTATAATGTACAATAAGTTTTGAACAATTGAATACAAAAGATAGCCGCACTGTTTAAATGTGTAATATTATTAATACAATAATGCTTGTTGGCAACAAAATTATAACATCTGGTATTGGTGATAATGTTCTTTTTTGTTTGCACGGTTTGATTAATCGCAACCGTGCTCAGAAAGTAATTTATTTTATCTAATGTAATTAAGCAAAATAAAAATTATTAGGGTCATATAAATAACAGATAAATAACTAGAACAATTGATTTTTCAAATAATATTTCTTCTAGTAGGTATGTTAGTTCTATTTTGTTATAATTTTCCGTGGCAATCACAAACAATTGGTGTAAAAAATTAGATTAAATTTCTATATCACTTATAACAATAATAGAATTTAGGAGATTTCAGATTTCATTATAATTTTTAAGAGACTCTTTGTCTCTTGCACAGCTTCAATCCTTGAAACTTGAGAAGTACTTTTAAAATGCCTTCCAAAGATATTATATCTATATTATTATGATGTAGCAAGTACCCTTCTATAAAAATTATATTGATTGATGAAAAGAGTTTTTAACTTTTATATTAATTTTGATTGCAAAGCAGCTGCAAGTTTGTTTTCTTAAATTAATTCCGGTAGAAATCAATTAAAATTTTCAATTACAAATATCGCGGAATCAAAAAAAGATAAAATGAAAAAACTTCCGATCTGTGATTCTTACACAATTCCCGACATTATAATGTGAACAAAGCTTTGACTTTCAACGCACTTAAAAATAATAAATTGTAAATTATAATTGTCTAAATGAATCTTTCCATTTCGTTCAATAAACTTTTTATTAAATCATAATAATAGTTTAAAAAATATCATGTGTTCTGTTCACACGCGGTAGAAGTGAAACCTTCAGAACACTGTACTACTAGAGAATGAGACGAAAGTAGTATCAGGAGTGGGATAATTTTAGGGTTTATTTATTATAATATTGGAATCAAGTGTAAAAGTTACTTAATATTTTTCTGCCGATATTCATGACACTTATCGGCATTAGTTTTTGGCATACTTGAAAATCGGTATTAAAGTATATTCCGAAAATATTCAGAATCAAGTGGCTTGTGGCAAGCTACGGAGCATCTCAAAAGACGAGACGAAGATAATAGGAAACATGGGATATTTGTGTTCTCTTATTCTCTCGCAGGCTTCTCTCGCGTTTGTCTCTTTTTAGTGTCGTTTCATTAATTTTGAAATCATATTGATTCTAAAGAAGTTTTCACTTCAAAGATTTAAAAGCATGTTGTACCATTCTGACATCTTGTATCACACCAAAATGATTCGAGTGTCTTTAATTTAAAATGTATTTCAGAAATTGAAATTTCTTATTTGTATGACAACAATTATTTATGTAGTATAATTGAAATCCGTGGCCAATAAGCCAAAATAGCTCTGTTGGGAGAGCGTTAGACTAAAGATCTGAAGGCCTCCGACTCAATCCCGGGTTTCGGCACGTTGCTTTTGTCAGAGATTTATTATAATACTGGAAAATTTCGTTTGTATTGTGGTCTGCCAAATAACACCCGATATCTTCGAACTATATAACTTTTTTATAATTGCTCACCGCCATGTTAGAGTTAAAGACTTCCCCTACACGATGCATACAATTGCAAACTCGCTAGCACTTCTGAAAATGCTCAAAAGACTTTGACAAAAGTACGAGTATTTTTTTAGAAAGTAGCATTTTTCAAGTATGTAAATATGGTGTAGAAAACACCCTGTATCTCGCAAACTAATTGAATTTTTTAAAGTTTGTCACGATAATTTTAAAGTTTGAAAGTCTTCCTACGCAATGCATTCCTTTTTAATCTTCTAACCCTTTTGGAAGTGCCCTAAAACGGCTTTTAAAATTTGCATTTTTCAAAAAAATTGAAATCATGGTGCGGAAAACACTCTGTATCTCGTGAACTAATTGACTTTATTAAAATTTGTTACAGCCATTTTAAAGTTCCAGAGTTTCTATACACGATGCATACCTTTTTAATCTCCCAGACCTTCCCAAAGGGCCCTGAACTGCCTTTTGAAAATTTGCATTTAAAAAAAAAAATTGAAAACATGGTATGAAAAACACCCTGTATCTTGAGAACTATTTGATCTTTTGAAAGTTTTTAACCGCCATCTTAAAGTTCGAAAGTCTCTTTACTTGACTTATATTTTTCCAATACCCAAACCCTTCAAGAAGTACCCTGAAAAGCACTACAAAAATAGCCATTTTTGTCCCAAACAATTCATTTTTTGGTCGAATAGGGACGAATTTTTCTGTTAAAAATTTTTTCGGTCGAAGAACAGGGTCGAATTTTTTCTTATTTTTTTGTTGAGTGACAGGGTCGAACTTTTTTGTTAAAAATCTTTGGTCGAAGAGCAGGGTAGAATTATTTTCTTAATTTTTTTTGGTCAACGAAATTCTTTTTTTATAGAATTATTGAATCAAACTTTTTTCTTAAAATTTTCCCGTCAAAACATTAAATTAAAAACTTGGAATTTTGAATTCCTGAATGACAAAACAGTAATTTTATTTTAAATTAAGTTATTAATTATGAAAAAATTGGCGGAGGCGCCTGACATTTAAAAGGGTTGTGTAATTAAATATTGAGAACTATCTCATTGTGTAGAGGGGCTCTTAATGATACAGTTTAAACAACTTTTTGCCAAATAGTAGTAAGGAATTTTCCAGTAAATTTCATAAAATAAAATAGAGCGTTTTGATAATATTAACCCAAACTAAGGTTTTATCGATATTCAATTTATATACATTTTTTAAAATTAAAATTGCAAATTAGGCCTAAACGGTAAATACTAGCCATAAAAGTTACTACAATAATCAATATAGAATTAAATTATGTAACCAAATCCGAAAACAGAATTTAAAAATTCCAACTTTTAGTTTCGAGCATAAAAAAGAGAAATCTTTTGCCTTTTTATAACAAAATCTTTTTGGTAAATTTTTTTTATGAATTTTTGATCATGTTTTAAAAAGGGTGTAATCTTGTAGTGAATCATTTAAGGATCAAGAATATGAAAACCTTTTTTCCGTAGCCCTTTTAGTTCTCGTGATAATCGCAATTTAAACTCGCCGCATTCACGGGAACAATTAAAGATAAGTTTGACCCCGTTGTTCGACCGAAAAAAAATTTAGGAAAATAAGTTCAACGTCGTTCTTCGACCGAAAAAAATTTTAACAAAAAAATCCACTCAGTTGTTTGACCGAAAATATTTTAAGAAAGTAAGTTTGACCCTGTTCTTCCCCAAACAAATATTTTAACAAAAAAGTACGACCCTGATCTTCGACAGAAAAAAAATTTAAACAAAAAAGTTCGACCCTGTTGTTCGACCAAAAAAAAGATTAAACAAAAAAGTACGACCCTGTTCTTCGACCAAAAAAAATTTAAAAAAAAGCTCGACCCTGTTGTACAACCGAAAATATTATAAGAAAGTAAGTAAGCCCCTGTTCTACGGCCAAAAATATTTTAACAAAAAAGTTCGACCTTGTTCTTCGACCGAAAAAAAAAATTTTAACAAAAAAGTTCAACTCTGTTATTCGATCAAATAATGAAATTTTTGCGACAAAAATGGCCATTTTTGAAGTGCTTTTTAGGGCACTTTTAAATGGGTTAGGGGATTGAAAATATATGTAACGCGTAGGGAAACTCTCGAACTTTTAAATGGCGGTAAATATGACGGTGACAAGTTTTAAAAAACAGTGAATATCTTCTAAACTAAAAGAGATAGTACCCAGAAAATTAAAGATTGTGGAAGATTGAATCAAAAGATTTTCTAACAGATAGAAATTTAAATAAAAATCGTGTGTGCAGTTCGAGAGTCTGCACTGCGACGAAAGTAGTATCTGGAATGGGATAATTATTGGGTTTATTTATTATATTATTGGATCCAAGTGTAAAAGTTATTTAATATTTTTCGGCCGATATTCACAACACTTATCGGCATTACTTTTTGGCATACTTTAAGAACGTTGTTATAGTATATTAGGAAATATTCAGAATCAAGGGGCTTGCGGCAAGCTACGAAGCATCGAACAAATGGGAGACAAAGATAATTGGAAACACTGTATATTTGTGTTCTCTTATTCTCTCGCAGTCTAAACCATATAAACAAATATGTTCGTCTCTTTTTAGTGTCGTTTCATTTATTTTTAAATCACAACGATTCTAAAGAAGTTTTCACTTCAAACATCACAAAGCATATGCAAACATTAAATAAATTAGTAATAAATACGGTATATTTCTGCAAAATATATTTTTGTTAATATTGCTACTATACTTTGGAATTTAAATAAATAAGCATATTTTTTGACATTTAATAAAGTTAATTGTGGTTTAATTATACTCTAAATGAAAACAGGCTCCCAAAATTTGCCATTTTACCAATGCCGTGTGCAAATGCCAATACACTAATCTTCCCACTTGATTCCAAATCCAATTGGCTCAACAACTGTAACAAAATTGACACTAATTAACAATTACTTAGTTGGTACACCTACGCGTAGGATATACAACACAGTTAAATTGGTGACTATACAATTGGGATTAATATATTCCGAAACTTTATTGCAAACTAAATTGCGATGGCAATAATTGCATTCCAGCAGTTCATTTATAATGAACGCACTTGAGCAAAATGATTATCAACTCACAGTCTGCGCAATTGATCGTTTCGTGTTATCATCCAACTGGAAATCTGGATAATTGTCGCAATGACCCGTCGTTAGACGATGGGCGATTTCCATGATGTCTTCGACGCCCACGCCATTATCCTCGTCGAAATCTGCGAATCGTAAAACCCGTTAATAAATAACATGTCGACATAAAACGCATAAAGAAAAAAAAAAACGCGAAGACTTTTAATCGTTTACATTGATTGGACGCTGTAATAAAGCAATCGATCAGCAATGACGTCGACAAAATTTCCACGAGTAAATTGCGAACGTAAAACGTTCAAAATATGAAAAGCATGCGATCATATACAATGTATGAAAATACTTATTTAACATGTTGCCTAATGAATTATTAATTTTTGAATAGCTCAATTTATTTTCGTTAATTAAGTCGGTGGCAAAAGTTGTACTTTATATATAAAAATAAAGAAAATAATTTAATGAGACATGATAATCACTAAAAAAACAAAACTTTTCTGATGAAAGAAGTTCTGTGCTAATAAACGAGTTTGTTTACTTTTTCCTTCGGTTTGTTTTCCTTGTGAAATTACCACGAATGTTTTTTGTCACAGAGAATATACTATTGTACATGTCGGTATGTATTTTATGCAGAGTAGTACATTTTAAAACTCATCATGTTAATCTATTTGTGAATCCATTGACTTTTATTACACACTTATTCTGTTTACATACCATTAAGGCACGAACAGACGCGCACGCATTATCAAACCGGCGCGTTTGAATTCATAACAATTTGGAGGAGAAATGATGTAAACACAAAAAAGGGACAATAAAAAAGCACTGGACTTGGAGCATAAAGTACACAGCCCCGTCATCACCATCCCTCAGCCTCTGGCTAAGCTCGACGAACTGTTTGCCTCGATTAATCAAAATAAAAGCTTCAGATGCGCATTTCGTTGTTTGAAACAAGCGGAATGTATACCCGTACATGGAAATGGAAATGTACATTCCATTAAATATTAAGAACCCTTGCAGCTCATCGTATTTTCCTGTTGTCCACATAGTTTAAATAATTATCGCTTGCGGCAAAGTGGGGACGCTTAGTCGGTATCCTAAAGTTGTCGAAAGTCATACATTTGCCTCGGCTAGTTTATATAACGTATAATAGCGCCGACATAAAGGATCGGTCTCGTCTAGCAAGCGGCATGCAGGCGCTATTATGTGAAGCCTGCGTTTTGAAAGTCCACGTCGGGACACCGGGGCAAGAACTAGTCGTCGTCATGGAACACAAGTATATATCAAAAACTTGAAGGGAAGCCAGATGCTAACTGGAGCGGAGAATATATTTGAGCGACTTCTGTGCTTTGTGTCATTGCGCCTGCAATCGTAAGAGTTTTCTTTCTTTATGTAATTAAAGACAAATGTTTATGAGTTTTCGGTTATTCAAAACTATAGTTTTTTACATTTATAAAGTCAAAACGGAGAAAATCAGCTTGTTATGATTTGTAAAATGCCGAGAAATAAATTTACGAGTGTATTCATGAATGAATTTAAGATTTAAATTTTTCCCACGCAATTATTGGCCCAGGAAGTTCAACAACAAATTTAATATGAGTTCCAGTCTGATTCATTCTGAAGTTCCGAAAAAAATTGTTGACCTTTCACGTAATTTAAGAACAGTTCAGAAAGTTTTTAATTAAAACTTAATTGAGTTCATTTTATTTCGAATGAAACAAAATTTTTTTAAACTAAAAATTGTTTAACCGTGTTTATTCTTTCGGAAATTTTAAATGAAATTTGAAGCTCAAAGTAAGATAAAAACAACTAATTGACAAAATAATTGTATGACACGACAGCGTGCAAATATACAGTTTCGTTCGTTAGTATATTTGTTCAATCATTACTAAAATGTGAACTATGAGTCGGCGTGCATGCAAAACGTTAAAAAACATCGGTAAACATATAACGTGCACAATATCACGATGTAGATGTGAATTATCGAGTGTTTCGAGCAATATTTTAACTGCCAACGAGGTTCGTACGTGCAAAAAGGACCCAATTAGAGCTAACTTCTGTTTGTTTATCGTTTTTTCTTGCTGCATATATTATAATATGGTTCATAACTTTAAGCATTATAAGACTCACATAATTGAGTACATAGGTAAACTAAAAGTACTTTTAGTGGTATTATTTATAATAATTATGATAATAGCCTGTCAAAGTTCGCGAGCGTCAGAGTATACCTCATATTTTGTACTATTTTGAAAGTTGAAGTTGTTTTAGTTGAAAGAAATATAATGTCGAAGTTACTACGGTCCATGGCGGGTTGCAAACACATTTTAAGTGCAAGCAATAGATCTTATTCGTGTTTACCATTAACGGTTTTAAGCGATGATGAAAAACTCTTCAAAGACACTGGTAATTTTGTATAATAAGCATAAATCTGACATCGCAATTTTCTAATTGTGTTTGCAGTACGAAAATTCAGCGAAAAGGAGGTGAAACCTCGCGTGCGTAGCATGGAAACGGCAGGCCAGCTGGATCCTGAATTAATAAGAAAATACTTTGAACATGGAGTTAGTAAAGATTGTTTTCACCGAAATTTAATCATCTTCTATTCTATTAGGGACATACTTTGTATACAGAGTCGCTACATATTAATTTAATTGGTCATATTTATAACCCGGTTTACAAATTAGCTGAGATGCAATTTTTAATCAAAAAAATTTGTTAGTTTATGGGCATTGAGGTTGAAACCAAGTATGGCGGAGCAGAGAGCGGTTTTATGAATATGGTAATTCTATTGGAAGAAATATCGAAGGTGGATGCAGCTGCAAGTCCAATCATACAGGTGCAGAATGTCCTCGTGTCTACGGTGCTTCGTAAAGCAGCATCCGAGGAGCACAAATTGCGATATCTGCCGCAGTTATGCAGTGAGAAACTTGGAAGTTTTGCACTAACCGAACCAGATAGCGGATCTGATGCATTCTCGTTGGCAACACACGCGCGACAAGATGGCGACGATTACGTCATAAACGGTAGCAAAATGTTTATCACCGGCGCGGATGTTGCGGATATTTTTCTAATAATGGCCAATGCTAAGCCCGAACTGGTATGTTGTTACGACACTGCGATGGTATCGGGAATTTTATTATGGCAATCTGGTTTGGTTGCTTGTAGGGATACCGAGGCATAACATGTTTCATAGTGGAAAGAAATACAAAGGGCTTAATTGTTCATAAAAGAGAAGATAAATTAGGCATTCAAGCGTCTGGTACGTGCGCGCTCACGCTGGACAACGTGCGTGTGCATAAAAGTCAGATTTTAGGCGAACACGGAAAGGGATATCTATACGCAATTAAGTTTCTCACAGAAGGACGTATTGGTGTTGCGGCACAAATGATTGGTTTAGCTCAAGGATGCTTCAACGTAACTATACCTTATCTCCTGGAAAGGAAGCAATTCGGAAAATCGTTATTCATGTTTCAAGTTAGTATTTTAATATTATTATTAGTTAGTTATTAGTTTTACTAAATATTTATCCATAAATAAACTTTTTCCGCTCTAGGAAATTGAAGGCATAGAATTGTCATGGTTCATTTCCTCCGGTCATTTCCGACAATATTATGATTCATTTTAGGAGTATCTTTATATTACCTTCTGTGAACGGAAATTGTCTCGGGACATCATATTTTCATATTTGCAGCGAAGACATTTCATTTGTTTTGAGCTATTTTTGTACTTAGTAATATGCAGATGCAGAAAATTTCATACTGTTAGTAGCTATTTTATTTATTTATGAATTCAGGGAATGCAACATCAGATCGCTCAAGTTGCCACTCAGATCGAAGCGGCACGTTTGATGACTTATAACGCAGCACGTTTGGTAGAACAGAAAAGAGATTTTACGAAGGAAGCAGCGATGGCGAAGTCCTATGCAGCTGAAGTGGCACAATTGACAACAGTCAAGTGCATCGATTGGATGGGCGGTCTCGGTTATATGAAGAGCTTGCCGCAGGAGAAGTATTATAGAGATGTGAAAATCGGAAGTATTTATGAAGGCACGTACAATATTCAATTGAATACGATCGCCAATAAAATTCATAGTGAATTTGGTTTATAATTTCAAACATACGTTTGTTTTTGTAATAAAAACTGGAATTTACGTTTCTGATAAACACCAATTCTAGAGAATTTAACAAAACACGATAAAAACGATGAAATAAAAAATTGATGTTATAATTTAATTCATAAATAGTTTTTGTTTTTATAACATGTGTAGATAGTGTAGATACCTGGTGCCATCTCAAAGTACAGCAAAAAATGAGAAAAATATTTAATGCATTACTTTGGATATTAAATAAAAAATAATTTTTTTTGTAAATATCCTATATTCTAAGATCTAAATGAAATAACAAATAGTAGAATCATATACTATTAAATTAAAATAATATTGACGTCGACAATCTATTATTCATCACTGAAAAGGGAGATCTGCTAAAGTTGTAATATTGAGCGCTAATATTGGTGAATTAGTTTGTTAATTCATTATAGTGATTATTCTATTGACGTTTTATTTTGGACATCACCTTTAAATTAAATAATATAACATAACTTTGAGTTATGTACATATAACTTAACATGACCTAATCTAAAACAGTTATTTTTTATGTTATTATAAAAATCAGTTTAGTTTGAATTACGAAGTCCTTAAATCACAAAAAAAAACAATTGAGAATTATAGTGTATAGTAATAAAATGGTCGATTTTTTTTTTATTTTTTATTGATTTCCATAATAGACACGAAAAAAGATACTTCATTTTTTATGGAAGCGCGTTACGTATTCCCGATACTCGACGTTTCTTCGAAGTGTATTCATTTAATTCCACAACACAGTAGAATAAATATCGGAATGAATAAAAAACAGGACATGTTTACTCACCGAATATGTGAAAGGCCCAATTTGCCTTCACGTTGTTTGGGCACGCATGCGACATGACAGAAAACAGATCCAAGAGGTCCTCGAACGAAAAGCAGCCATCCATACCCGTGGAGAAAACTTTACAAAGACGATCTTTAAACGGATTATGCTGAAAATATGCATGCACGTGTAAGTATATCGTATAAAACGGCGTCAAAAGTACTCGTACAACAAGCGGGAGCACTACTCAAACAAAGAATATAATATTTAATATGACGTCAGTGCATTCCTGAGTGCACAATAAATAAAGCTCATTATTATTTATCGATTCAATACACAATAATTTAATACGCATTTTAGTCACATTCGCGATATAATGACGAGGTGATAAAAAACCGTTCATATCAAGATAATAATAAATTAAGTTAGTAAAATGCGTCGCTCGATATTTGTAGCGCACGAAAAACATTAATGATAATTAGCATTGTAGTGAAAACAATTAACAGCTCGTTATATTATATTTAATTACACTTGAGCACGAATACGAAGAAATGTATTCACTATGGTTTCCTTTACCTACCTGCAATTGAAGATAGAAACTAGCAATAATATCAAAGGGAATTCGAGCAGCAAACACAGGATCTCTGTTGTTTACCAATTCCATGATATCTATCCAGTTCTTGAATAATCTACAACGCAGTATATGATATACGGAGTATAATTAATCTTACATGCGCTTTGTATTTATCCAAATTACTTACTCGATGATTTCGGCTTTGTTTAAGTACGTTAGTTCCGCGTATTCGTTCAGAATGTCGGCTGTAAGTTCCGCAACAGCGCTCTGTTGACTTCCCATCTTTGCTATAACAACAATCTATAATTCACAATATACGAACAATCACTCGGGCCGCGCACAATAACGAATTAAGATCGAGCGGCGAATGCAAATTGATAACGATGTGACGTTCGCACAGGTGAATTGCAACTGATTAAACTCTCCATGTGATACCTTATCAAGTCTCGTTGTTAAGTTTTGAATTAATATTACGAGCAGTTATATCTAATCTTCGTTTATTGAACTGAGGTAAAATATTTAATAAAGGTAGAAATGAGTGGCGTGGGACGTACATCATTGAATTTAGTTTTTGTTTTTGTGTATTCGGCTTTATGGTATTCTGTTATTAGAGTTATTACAGTAACGTAGAAAAAAAAAAGCTATTCAGGACGACTGGAGTTGGCCAGACTCAAGAAGTACACTTTATAAGAGACAGAACCTCTAAGAAGGACAATTTTCTATGAAAGTACTTGAAAGAACGCGTAAAAAATAAAAAAAGAGAGTAAATTTAAAAATAAACGTTAATGAACTAACTTTCTAGAATAATTTTTCTCGTAAATTTTCTGTTTAAACTTTTTATATTTATTAAACATTCTATTCGGTTTGATTGAACAGAAAGAGATGAAAATATATTTGTTCAATTCTCTTAAATTTAATTTTCTTTCAAGCTTTCTTCCAAGAAACATGGCACTACTTCTGATGTAGTGCCAAATAAACATGGTTAAAGGGGTCACGAAGACATATTGCATAGTGAAAAATGGTCTAACGGAAAATAGCCAAAAGCTATTTTTATTTGTTCATTTCCCGCAAAACATCGACAAAAAATTTGAAAAGATATAAAACTTCACAATAACATTTTACAAATAATATTTATTAATTTTTTTTAATTTAATGTTTCAAAAATTGATTATAAACAATTTGTACCAATGTTGAAATTTTTTAGTTCAACTAATAAAAAAATTTAGGTTTGTTTACTAAATTGATGATAACGCTTTCTCAACAATACAGATAAAGTAATTTATCGAATAAATACAACGTGAATCAAGGTGTGACTGTAATTACCAAAATGATACGGATATATACATAGTTATACTCCTCTAAACATTCAGAAATAGAAATGACTATGTAGAAATTAATGAAGCATATAATTTTATGGTAATGACGTGTTTATGGTGTTTTACATATAAGCCTAACCTATTTCCAACATATTTACTAAGAATAGATATTATTGATCACCCCCATGGTCCCAGAATTTCCAAAGTGCTAGTTGATTAGTTAATACATCGGTAAATTCCGTTCAACTATCGTAAGCCTGCAATATTCGCCGATGTTATTCAAAGTTGAGAGTTAGGCTCCGAATGGATTATAGACGGTCCTAAAATTCAAGCTCACAACTTCATTAATATACGTGTCAGAGAAAGTCAGGTGGAGAAGCTAGAGAATCAGCGGTCGGGCGAATATTAACCAAAAAACCCAAAATCAATGATCAACTCTGAGTAAATAAATGAATATATAAACAAAAATATTGAAAATGATTGTCAATCAAACGTCAACTTGTAATTGAATTGAACGTCATAACATATTTTTACATCAACATATTTAAAATCATGCCGTGTTACTGGTTTATCGGTAAAATCTTCTACCACATTTTTCTGCTAATGGCATTTATAAATTTGTTCAAAACACTAAAAAGTTTCGAAATGCCACCGATGTGGACCGTCATCGGGGTAGTTTCCATCTTGTTCATGCTATGGCGGTGCTATTACGCTGGAATGGTACTTTTTTTGACGGTCGGACATTTTACGTACTCGGTGGGAAGCTATTTATGCACGTCACACAAAATCAATGATGCTTGCGATGCCTGCACCGACAAGAACGCTGATGCAGTGCTGGAGGAAAGTGCTGCGATGGTGGAGAATTGCAAATAACAGATGCAACTAACAATTAATCAGTTGCCTTCCGGCCAGACACTGATGCCAAACTATCATCGGATGTACATTTTCACGAACCAAATAGTTCCCTGATGGCGTGCACCAAATATGTACATTTACAAGTGATTTATGAACTTTACTTTGTGCTTTATCACTAATTTATATTTGTTTTAATACTTTCTTAAATCTTGTACGAAATAAATCTTTAATTCACTGAGGAATTAACTTTCAATACAATTTTTAGTTTTGAAAGATTATATTAAATATATTATATTTTTAGACATTTTGCTTTGTGCATAGTGTTTACTCTAGGAAACTATTTCATGGATAAGCTGTGATAAGCCTTTTGCGTTCACAACAATTGTGTTTACAATATTCCCGAACAACAACGATGAACTTTTAAAATAATACATTTTTCCAGGATCGTGGATCGAATATAGCTATTTTGAAGTAGTAGAATATTGTTTTATTATTTATAGACTGGGATTTTCTAAGAAACATAGTCAATTTTGATGATTAAATTCTTCATAACTGAAACGTAATTAACGTCATAGAAGTTCATAACATATTACATGTGTTGGTTCTATTTATATTTTTACTAGACATCTAGACTTTATAAATACGATCAAAATATCTAATTGTAGATGGAAGTATATGCGTCGCTAATAATAAAAAAACTGTTTTTATAATACTTGTTTGCTTGTCTGTCTGCTTGGTTGTCTGCCTTTGTTCCGGCTAATCTCACTAACGGCTTATGCGATTCCGATAGGATTTTCACTGGCATGTGGTTAGAAATCTGTCCCAGTTTTGCATTGGAATAAACGACTACTGTATCAAAGTATAAGTCTGCGCATATAAAATATTCTCAAAGGCTTAGTTTTTGTGAATTTTATAAAAATAAATGAAGATACAAAATTGAAATTTTATTCCAACTCTTATTATTTATTTAACACCTTTTAAGTTATAGTTTCGCTTCCATACTAAACAAATTTACCCACTGGTCTTATGTGAAGATTCTGTAAAAATTTCATCAAAATCGGTCTAGCCGTTTTGAAGTCTATTGGGAACACACATACACATGATCATTATATACACATAGAGAAATAGACATAATACGAGTATATATGAAACTAGAGGAGTTTTTTGAACACAGCTGGTTGCAAATAAAACTGATTTTCATAAGATACTTGGAAACATGATCTTTTTTGTAAATGTACCTACATTTAACTATGTAATAAGTTCACAGTGTTTAAGTAGTTGATAAATATTTACGTGAGTTTCACAGAGTTTGAAAGCAAACATGCGTTATTCAAATATGTACCGGCAAATCTACAATATCCACGTAACTAAAAAATATAAAATTTATATAGCTGAAATTTTAATAATGTATTGAACAAGGCATTCAACTATTTCATCAATTTTATTGCAATTAATAGGAGTATAAATGAAGAGATTATATTTGTATTATGTTCGTCAATTGTTTATTAAATAGTTTATTTTGAACTGGATTTTCAGGATTTCTATAAACGCAATTTATTTTTGCATCATTTATTTATTATTTTTACATGTTGGCTTGACGTGTAAAATATATTTAAATAAAATATAAAATTGTCCCTGAGATTCAGCATTATAGTATGTATTTCCATTGGTGCGTTCTGTATTGAAACCTGCGTTGCACTTCGAAACGAGGTAGATTTTGATCACGTCGTCTCCTAGGGAACCTAGGAAAGTTTGTAATGGAGGACGCACTGGAATACATTAAAAACGGCCGATAACAACTTCACCCAGCGAATGGGCAAAAGTAAACTTTATTATGATGATTTTAGTCTTATTCTTTGAAGTTAAACCATTATTAATACAATGCGTCTTTATAGCGTAACTCGATACAACTACAAACCGCTCAGAACGGCGAAATATGTTTAACTTGGCTGGTATACGTATATTAATTTCCTCTGTATAACTTTATAGGTGCCCTGTGTAAGGAGAAATATTCTGCATAAGCTGCAGGATCAAAAGTATATATATATTTTGCTTCGCCACGTTTTCATTTTTCATGTTTGGTTGTTGCTGAATCTAACTGGAATTGTAACATAATTTGAAGTGACTCACGAGTGGAGAATTCGTGGAATTATTGCAATATTGTGATATTAAAATTATATCAATGCGACATGTTTTTTTATCAAACTACTTCCTTATAATTTTATTAAATGCCATGTTTCTTGAGTGTCGTGTTATTTAATTATAAGAATGACCAAAAAAGAAGGCAATACACCTGATTAATAATTTGAAGGGTTAATATAAATAAGTAAACAAATATTTATTTAAAAATAATAATAATAAACGTTGTTACAACAAAACAACTTCTAACATTTATTTTACAATTTTTTGCCTTTACAAGTGTATCGAAATAGTGCAGACGATATAAAAAATCTGAAAGAAATATAGTGGTAGTACACCACTCGTAATAAACAAAAGTAAAAGTTTCTTAATCCACTAAAAACAAGGTCGGACATCGAGCAGAACTTGATTTGAAGCAAGTGATGAAACCGAGGTGCTTCTAATCGTATAGCCTTTCTACAGTAATAATGAACGGCCACAGATGTTCCTTGATTGATTTGGTTTTGTTTTGGTGAACGCCACCGATGCAATCGTTTTTTTTTGACGACTGCATCTACTTTGAAACTCGGTCTCAAAGAAATTTTAAAAGGCATTGCATAGGTTTGTAGGTTTGTTATATTATTCCTTTTGATCAATACTCCATAATTCTAAATGAGAAAATGCAAATTTGACGTTATTTGTTCATTTGATATTCTGCACAAAAGTGACTGAACTGATATTGATGAAACTTTACAAGACTATAGTTTATTCATCAAAATATCACATAAGCTTTGTACTAAAAATAAGACTTGATGGTTGTAAGCTAAGGCATAGATGGTGATACCAAAATCCAACCGATGCGGTGCACACTGCACATGCACATGCGGAGTAAATGCTCTCAAGTTTTAGAAATAAAATGAAATATTTACGAATGTGACATCAACAACGCAGAATAGGTGTAACAAAGGAGGAAGTAATTAGATCGGCTACATTTAATAAAAACTACTCTCACAAAGTTCTGGACAAAACCTAATATGATTTAAAATTAAAAAATGTCAGTATTAATGGAAATGAATATTTTCCCTTTGCTCTGGAAATTTAATTATTTTCACAATTAATCTATTTTAATGAAAAACGTACTGATTCAATATTATTTTGAATATTATTTCAAATATAATGGACATGTTCAAAAAATTAACGTGTTGTGTATAAAAACTTCCCGAGTTTTTGGTACAATAGACAGCCAATTAATATTTTAATAATTCCCAAATAAAAACTTTTGCATTTCAAAATCCGTATAACTTTTCAAGTTTCGAGTATTGCGTTGTAAAATCATAAAGATATCAAATTTCAGGTATTTAATAACAATAAAATAATAACCTTTCTGATATTATTGCCTAAAATAGCTAATATATGAATTAGTTATGTAGAACACCTTCACACCTAAGAAAATAAATTAAAAATAAATTTTATTGATAGCGTAAGCTTAACTCTGTGCTAATTAAGAAAAATTTAACTTTTTGGCACCAATATAAATGACTGCAGTGACATTTTTTATTAATTAAACCGTCCTGCTGAAATTTTCCATCCTTGTACATGTCGTCTTACTACTCTTCCATCTTTTTTTTACAAATGTCTATATAGCAGACGGTACCTAGCGTGTTTACAACACAACGCGTCTCCAAATACGCAACAGTTTGTGGATCCGCCGCCGCCACTACCGCCGCCACTGCCGCAGCTGCAGTCAATGTGCCGTACGCTCATCCCGTGCTGGGGGGCTGCGTCAGTCGACTTCGGCACTGTTGCGGCAGTCCAATTTCGGCCACCTCCGCGCACCCTACGTTCACACTGTGCACACACCGAACAACGCGATCACGTTTCGACGGCGGCGAAAGTAATCTGCCTAACAAATTGAGTGTGAAATTTTGTAAACGCACTGGAAAACTGACATCACAAGAAAATTCAACCTACTTTGGAACATTACCCAAGCGCATTCATGTGAGTTGTGTGTCTAAATTAAATTGAACGCAAAAAATGCGAAAATTTAATAGAAAAGTTTGTGACCTTACGAAACTGTAATCAATCGTCACTTGCCAACGTTTAATTATTCTGTATAGCCTCGGCGAACTTATTTTTGGTATCTGGAGATAGTATTTGAACTTTTAGTCGACTTTAAATTGCGTGTGTACAACTTTTAAAGTTTCCCGACTTGAAAAGTTTTCTCACTTTTATGAATGTCCGTCACCGCAATCAGAAACTTAGTTAAATGTTTTAGTTAAAAAGTTGAAGCAGATTTATCAGATTTAACTTGTTGTTGTACTAGTCAAGTGTAATTGAAATTAGAAAATAAAACAAGTTTAGTTTTAGCGACTTGATTTGTACGTGCGTTGGAAAGCAATTTCGGGTTTGTCTCTGTTAATTTTAATCTATATTCACGGCGGCAATTGTACACAATTGTCCAAACGCTGAATAAAAAATAGTGCGATGCTAAAATATCGAATTTTTATTATTCTTTAGCCTGCAACCATACTTACAGGTATAACACAATCAAAACACAATTCCTTCGAGTTTAAAGTTATCTTATCTCAACTTTATGTAACTTGATTGTATAACTTTTCTAATTCATGTAAAAATGCAGTGCTCCAAGATAAATATTGCTGACAGCACCATTTCGTCAACACCGCCATTTTATGCAAATTCTATTCAAATTAACACCGATATTTTGCGGCGCCTGAGACAGTTGGTATATTTAGAACTTCTTTTCAAACCAATTTATCTACCGTACATCTAAATAAACATGACTTCTTATTTAGATCGAATCGTGTTTTTCTTTCATGCGTCTCCCTTTAGTTGTCCATGGCGGAAAAGCCACTTGCAGTCCGATCACGCGTTTGAGTTTTATTATTACGCCTCACACCTTGAAATGGTAATGTATTTAAAGAGAAAATCCTCATGAATAATTTATATTGATTTTGAGTGACACTTTTTAATTGTTTATTGTCAATATTTCAATATTTTTCATTTATACGAGAAGATTTGGAGAAGAGTAATGGGATTTGTTGAAATTTGAGATTTTTTTGCTAGAGGCAATTATGAAAAGGAATTTATCGAGTTAGCCAGTTATGGTGCGGTTTTGATTTATAAGCCTCGTTGCAGAATATAATTTATTACCTGAGCGTACGTTAGGTTAAACTACTTGGAAAATTGAAAATTGCTGGATTATACCAATTGCAAATTCAAACAGTTTTAATGGTAAAAAAGGATGTTAAAGTTATAATAAATGGTGTAAAGGTTTAGAAAATTATCTAAAGGTAAATATTATACTTTTTTAATCCTGGTTTTATTGTTAAATCTGTGATTTTTGTTTTAATTGTGTTTTTAATCCACTTTATAAAACACTAGTTTATGAAATAATAATTATGCACTTTAGCACATTTCCGATTAAATGTTTTATCAGCTTTTATCCCGCATTTTCACTCTGTAAGTTCTATTTTTGCAACAAAAAGTAAGTTACTTTTCTAAGTAAAGTTAAGTAAACACTTACTGTATGCTATACCCACACAATATCGCCGAAACGATATATTACTAAACCATTGCAAGTCAATGCCAGTAGGTGTGCTGATGAGACCTCTAATGGTCGAAATAGCTATCCACATCAGGCTTGGCAAATATTGCATTGACTTGTTAAAAATATGTTATATCGTTTCGGCGATATTGTGAGGGTATAGCGTACAGTTTACTTAGTGTTTACTTAACTTTACTTAGCTTATACTCACCCTCTCGTACTACCATTGTATTTCAATAAGTTACTTTTCTTTGGTCAAAAATATTTTTTTTCTAAAAATTTGTTGGTTTGGTGGTTTTCGCGTGAAAGCGTAAAAAATAAACAACCAAATGCACATTTGCATTTATAATGTTAGTTAGGATGTAGTTTCTGTAGTTTCCAAACCCAGTTGCAGATGATGACACGTTGATTGTTTAAATTACTAATTAGATGAAGAATGACTACGTTGTTATTATACCAATATAATATTTTTTTGAACACATACTTTTTTTTTATTAATAAAACTGATTACAATCAAAATGTAATCTAAATCCAAACCACCCCGCCAGAGTGTCTTTTTCATTTATTACTAATATAAGTATTTATATTATTACAAGTAATAAAACAGTTTTTTGTTTGTTTTCTTAGCTACTGAATAATAAATAAATCTGGTTCTTAAAAATACAAAAAGTCAGGATTATCTTTAAGGAATTTTGATCTTTGTACAAATTATGTTCTTTTCATTGGTTTATTATTATGTGATACATGCATAATATATGTGTATTTAACATATATTCTGTTCACAAAATGAAATGATAATATGAGAATAATTAAATTTATTGGTAATACCAGTGACAAAAATCATCCTTTTATTATTTTGCCTTATTACCTATATTTTAAAGTTCGGATGCAAAATCAAATATTGCATATTTTTGTTCATTTCTAAATTTGTGCAACACTCAATATACATAAAAACAATCCCAATATCCCAAATGGGCAATTCAACGGAAGAGCAAATGTTTTGTTAAGCAATAATTAATTTGTTTGCGTTGCTGTCCGTTGGGAAGTTGGACATTTACTCTTTACGGCAACCCATTTATTTTCTTTAATAATTGCAGATCGTTATCGGCAATCATTTATCATGATCATTTGCAGAGATTGTTATTAAAGCAATAAGCATGAAATTTCCGAGAGTTCAGGTAACTTATCAACTATTAGGTTCTTCTTTATGACTGGCTATTATTGAGCATGTTATTGTAATGAGGTGATCAGGAAGTATTATATATTGCGCTCAATAGCATAGTTATTATTATACTATTGCTTTTGATTGCTGCATTAGTACCGTATTCTGCCTGACACAGCTTTTTACTCCAATATATACTCTAGTTAAATGCTTTTTAATGTTTCTATAATGTTTTTATTTCTATGCATATAAATTGGCAACATTTGATTTGATTTTACACGAAAATCAAACTATATATAACCAAATTTCCGAATACCTAATTTACTTTGATGTTTGATGTGTTGCATATTTACTAGTCGCAGGTACAAATATTTACAGTATAACGTGTGGTTACATTAGCATATCATAACTTATCGAAAATTTTGATCTATATTTACTTTAATGTTTTATTACTGACGTCTTTCGAAACAGAGTCGTTATTTTCGAAATAGAATAAACTGAAAAACCAGGTTTTAATAGAATAGAAAGATCAGTTCCTGGTTGAACCTGCTATAATAACAATCTCATTTTTGATAGGTACTTTTTGCCATTGTTAAAACTGCAAAACATAAAATGATTGAAAGATGCATAATGTACATTAAAAAGCTCGGTTTAAGCTTTGTAAAAAAAAGTGATGAAAACATCAGTTCGCAGAATTCAGGGAAATTAATAAACGAGTTTTTCTTTTTTCTTTTCCGTTGACGGCCGTATATTCGCAGCCAAACGTAAACGTTACTGCAATACTATCGCCACACACATAAATTCGAACATTTACGTACGAGTTTTAATTTGAATCAGACAAACACAATTAAAAACGTAACGAATGAATAAGCTTGCGTCGTTATTGCATAAGGTACGTTGAGTGGCGTTTTATTTTGTTACACTTCATAGCGTCTTATATTACATCGTAATTCATAAAAGGGGATATTGAATCATAAACTTGAATAACAATGATGCGTAGGCGTAAAAGTCATTCTTGTTTAATAACAAAAGTAAAGACTAAGTATCTTGCTAACAATGCTAAATGTATAATACCAACATATAGAATATTTAATATTATAAAATAAGTTTACTGTTCCAGTTAATTAAATAATTTCAGAGAACGTCTGCGATGTCAGACGTGCAAACTAAAATGAGGTAAATGAAGTAAAGTATAAAAAATGCAAATGCAAGTGCTTTGCGAATTTCGCTTCAGAACGATTAAGTTTGAAAAAGATGCACTCTTGGGTTCTAAATGATTCAATACAAGCGCTAAATATTTCTCGTTATCGTGTTTCTGTGATGCTATTACCAATTCAGCGCTTTGTTTGGATCTATTGTATTACTATTTATACTATTCTTAGCCTATATATCTGCCTATAATTATAGTATGGTACAGCTCCGTCACAAATCACACAGACAGAATTATGATCAGTTTTCCAAAATGGAAATCGTACGAAAGTACCCCACACACGGGGTACCTTCGTGCATAGTGTGGGGTACTTTCGTACATGATGGGGTACCTTCATACAGTCAAAGAAAATAAACAATTGTTGATTAAATTTAATCATTTATTGAGATCAATTTAACACAGAATCAGCATTTTTGTATTAAGAACCAAGATATATTATTTAGGTATTCATAGGTATCATATAATATGCATTTGCTTCATTATCAGTCTTTGTAGTTTTCTTTTGCTTCTTTAAATTAAATGACTCTTTCGATTGAGATTTCCTCTTTATTGAAGATGCGTTATCTGCATCTAAGACAAGATGTAGAGCTTTGATGGCCTTAGCTTTTTGTTTTTTCTCTTGCACTTGCTTCTTCAATAGTCTTCCTTTTTCTATTTCTGCCAGTCTATCTTTTCCGGAGTATCAGTGTAAATTCTAGATTTGCCTGGTAGCTTTCCTTTCCTTGTTTTCTTTATTGAATCTCTGTCCACTCTAGGATATGGCCTGACTAACTCTGGGGTGATCAACCCCACAGCTGGTGAGCAATCTGTTACTGTTGTAGGTGATAGCAAAGATGGAGACACAGATGATGAACAACTTGGAAGGTTTTGTTGAATAAACTCTGTCTGTATGGGGTCTGCTGGTATGGTCTCTGGCACATCGTAATCTTGAACGGCTACAGAACTTGATTGCTTATCTTGCGTGGATTGTAACGCTTGTGGTTGTGAAGAAGTTGAAGCTTGTGGGTTCGTTTGAGCATCTTGGGTTGAACTAGAATAGTATACATTCACAGGTGCAAAAT